GTGAACACCGAGATGTGTGACGTAACTCTGCCCAGGGGCACACCCGCTGACAGGACGTGGGGACTTTTCCAATAGGTTAAGTCTGAACCCACGGAAGGAGGGATGGCCACCATGCGCCTCTTCTGTCGCACGGGGTCGATGCACAGGCGAATAAACCACCTCTGGAGTCTCCTCATGTGAAGGAGACCCAGGGGAATCACCACGTGACCAGCTGCCATCATGCCAAGCAGCTGCATCACGGAGAGGGCTGTCACCACGCTGCGAGGTGTGACGCGTCGGAGAAGAGCTGTCAGTGCCTCCACTCTCTGCTGTGAGAGTCGCGCTCTCATGCGGGCTGAGTTCAATTCCACACCCAGGTAAATAATACTCTGGGAGGGAAGAGGGCAGCTCTTCTTCCAGTTTATTACGAAACCCAGCTTTGACAGATGTGATACGAGCTGTACCGTCTGTAAAGCAACTTCCTCTCTGGATCGAGCTAGCAATAGCAAGTCGTCCAGGTAAAACAGCACTCTCATCCCTCCTCTGTGTAGCGGCTGCAGCGCCGTCTGTACACACTTCGAAAAAGTGCGAGGAGCCAGGGAACAACAGACGGTTGTACTGGTACGATATTCCCTGGAAAGAGAAACGCAGGTATTTCCTGTGTTTTGGGATGATGGCTACGTGGAAGTATGCATCCTTCAGGTCTATCGAAGTGAACCAGTCCCCCTGGTGAACACACTCCAGCACCTGTCTGATCGTCAGCATGTGAAAAGGCCTTTTCATTATGACCTTGTTGAAAACTGACAGATCGAGGATGGGTCTCATTCCCCCCGTCTTTTTCGGGACAAGAAAATAGCGGGAGTAATACCCCTGATTTTCTTCCCCTTGAGGAACCCTGGAAATAGCCTCTTTCAACAGGAGTTCCCGCAGCTCTGCCTGGAGCGCAAGACACTGTTCCTGGGATGATAGGAGTGTTTCCTGTATCCCATTGAACTGTGCGCCGCTGCCTGTGAGGCAACCCAAGGTGGGCCTGGAGCGAAAGGGCTGTGAGGGAGCCTCCACACGCTGCGTTTCACTCTGGCTCTCATCATGAGGCGTGTACACGCTCAGGGGATGAATGGAGATGTATGCCGTGTTGACCACATGAGGCGTTATAACGGCGCTCATGGGTTTATTATGACCGTGTGTAGGAGACGTATCTCGGACAGAGGAATGCCGCGAGCTCTGCGGTTCATTAACCGATAGGTTAAAACCAGCAGGCTTCTGCAGCGAGCCCTGCTGTCTACTAATCAACAGATTGGTGGCAGCTGGCTTAGTTAGCGAACTCTGCAGTTTATTAACCGATAGATTAAAAAGTGCAGGTTTTTGCAACGAACCCTGCTGGCTACTAACCGATAGGTTATAGACAGCTGGTTTACACAGAGTGGAGGATATGTGAGAAACACTTGATACTGATGACTCAGACAAAAAGTTGGAAAATGAACCCATTTTATTTTTCTCACTATCCCCCCCAACACGTCAGAAGCGGCTCTGCTTTCTTGGAGGCTCACGTGGAGCGGACACAGAGCGGGAGTGCCTCGCTCCCCGTTGACTCACTGCCGAGAGACCCCTCCGTCTCTGGGGTGGCGGGGGAGCGGAGACGCGGGGCGGAGCCCCTGCCGCTGCCGACGGGCGCTGACGCCGCGGCTGCGGTTGAGACCTCTCCGCCTGCCGCTGTGGCCGGGTTGGACGCTGCGGCTGCTGCGGCTGCTGCGGGCGCTGTGGCCGCCCAGCAGGCTGGAGCCAGCTGACGTGCTGGCGGATGTCGTCCGCCTGTTCCGCAGCCGCCTTCATAGACTCCACCATGGCGTGGAACTGGGGTCCGAACAGCCCGTCCGGGCTGATTGGAGCGTCCAGTAACACCCTCCTGGCCGTCTCTGTAACCGACGCCTGCTGCAGCCAGAGGTGGCGTTGGATCTGCGTCACCCACGCGGCGATCCTCGCCTGGGAGACAGCGACAGACGCGCACAGTGTGAGCGCCGTGCTGGCAGCCTTGGCGATCTCCTCCGCTTCATCAGCGGCCAAGGTGGTGGACCGCTCCACCAGCGTCACCACCGAGTTGGACAGCAGCGCGATGTTGTTCGCCGCCGCCGATGCCTGAAAGGCCCACTGGTGCACCCGGTCGGCCTGGCGGGCAACATACTGGTCCCTGGGGGAGGCCAACGTAGGGCGCCGTCCGGCGATCATGTTGGCCTGCCTCACCCCAAAAAACGCCGTCAGGCCCGGCTCCAGCGAAGGGGTGGCTGGGAATCCAGCATCTGTAAATCCCTCCACCTTGGTGAGGGGAACAAATGTGGCCACCGGAGCCTTCAGGGTCCTCGGGTTCGCCGCCGCCCCCTCCTGGTACCTCCTGATGGCGGGGAAGCGTGGCCAGATCGGGTCACTCCTGACTGTCTGCACCCGCGAAAAAACTCCGGCCATGTCGTCCGGAGCACACCTCTCCTGAGCTAGGGGAACGGGGAGACCTCTGCAGGCGGCCGCCTTGCAAATGATCCCTGGCAGTTCCCCCAAGATGCCACCTATCGCCGGCAGCGCCGTGGTGACGGAGAAGGGGACCGCGTGCTCGGCCGCCAAGTCGGCACCCTGCTCGGCACCCTGCTCCGACTCTGAGGAGGGAGGGGAGAACCATACGGCGAACCGTGGAGGGAGATGGGGTAGGAGTCGTCCGACTCCTGCCCGGCACTCGGCTCCAGGGACACGAGGCTGCCGTCCACGAGCCCGTGGACGGGCCAATCGTCCTCCTCGGTCGCAGCAGCGAGAGCGTCCGCTCTACGCTTCCTGTCGTCCGAGGGGAGACGGGCACAGTGCTGGCATGCGACCTGCTGGCTGAGAGCCGGGTATGCGTGCTCTGGCCCCAGGCAGGATTCGCATACTGTGTGCTGATCGTAGCTCATAATATAGCCGGATCCACATGAGGGACAATCTCTAACACAATTGTTGCTCATGTTTCTCGGATATATTACGTGTCTCTTGTGCTTCAGTAACTCGGGGTGCTGAAGAAAAAGAGGGAGCAGATTGTCGGGCCTCCTTCCTATTTATACCGGAAGGGAGCCCGAGGGTGGGGCCCACCTTGCGGGCGGGCGTGGACTACAAGTGTTTCAGTGCTGCGCGGGTGCGCAGGGGGATTACCCAATAGCGATAGCCTTAGAGGGCGAAGCCATATACGAAATAGAACGTAGCTAAACACCAATCATACAACAGCAACGATGAAAGATTGTAGCCAAGGCAGCAGAGCTCTAAATATAGCTCTTGTCACTCACACACACACGCACACGCACACGCACACGCACACGCACACGCACTAGGGCTGCTCGATTTTGGCAAAAATCATAATCACGATTATTTTGGTCAATAATTGATATCAAGATTATTAAATACGATTATTCATTTACTTTGAAAACATCCATTTATTGAACTTTAAAACAAATAATAATTTGAACAGTATCTTTTTAACTGTTGATTACCCTGAACCTATAATTCAACTGCAAAACCAATACAAAAATAAATTAAATAAATTATACATTTAAATAAATAATATCAAAATAATAAATACCAATAAACAAGATCAACAAATATTTTGGAGCGCACTTCCACAAGCTATTAAACATGTATAAATATGATAAATAAAAATAAATTAGACTAAAATTAATTAGATCAAATATGTTGTAGTGCACTGTCACAACCTAGCAAAGCAAAATAATTTCGTAATTATGGCAGGCCAAAATCGTAATTGCGATTAAAATATGATTAATTGCACACCCCTAACACACACACACACACACACACACACACACACACACACACACACACACATACACTTGTTGTCTAACACGCTAACACAGTTCTGTACTGTTATGCCTTTACATTTACTTTGTAAGTAATTATGGGACGTATTTCTTCTTTCATAGCAATTTTCCTTCATACTTTCTTGCCGTGAAATAGGTCTTAAATTCTATTCAAAGTGGTCTTAAAAAGTCTTAAATTTGAGTAGGCGAAACCTGCAGGAACCCTGAGTGTTGTAAAACCATTCTAGCCAGGAGACGGACGTTAATTCGGATATTTTTTATCCCACTCTAAACTTTGACTCGACAGAAAAAGGAGGTAACGGTTATTAGCATGCTAATGAAACATGCTACATTAGCATAGTAGCTAAATTTGCATAACCGTAATGAGAAATAGTTTTCTATAATAATGTATAGTTCTATAACTAATTGATAAGCTAATACATTTAAGGCATCCTTTATTTGATTTAATTTAAATTTATTTGCAGTTTTTTATTATTATTTTTACTATTATTTTGAGATTTTAGACAGTTTTTACTTATAATTGTCAAATATTAGTTAGTATTTTTATAATTTATATGTATTTTTTAAGTATTTATTTTCCTTTTGCGTTTGATTTGATTGTAATATTTATTTTACAGTATTATGTGCTATATTAGTAGTTGCTAATGGGGATCTACATACATAAATATATAATAAAAGTCAATAAAACCAGTAGTTTAGCTCTGGATTAAAGCATTGAATTGACAGACAGCAAATGAATACATAGAAAATGCACAATCAATCAAGATAGGCGTTGCCACAAAAATAAGGTAAAAATAAATAAATGTTATTTGAATACATTTGTAATTAAATATGTGCTTTACATTGTGATATGCTATCTTAGTTGTTGATCCAAATAAAACAAATAAAATCAGCAGTTTAGCTCTAGATCAAAGTATTTGACTGACATAAATAAATGTATTAAAAAATAATAATACACGAAAATAAAGTAAAAATATTTTTTTTTTTACATATTAGATATTTTTTTTATTCATCTTCTTCCTCCTCCCCTCCCTTTTCTCCTCCCCTCGCTCCCTCTCTCTCTCCATCTCCCCCAGCCTCCACCTGCTCCTCCTCACACCCCTTCCCTCTCTGAACATCACATGTTAACAAAAAAACCCCTCTGTTTCTCCCGGAGCTCCGCGGCTGATCGGCGGCTCTTCCTCCTCTCGTCAGGCCGTCGAAGGGCACCTCAGGGCGGGGAAGGAGCGTCACAGGGGTCGGTGTTTGTGGAGCGGATCTCCGGAGCTCTCCCTCATGCTGCAGACATAAATGCACGGAAATACACACCTCCTTGATGTTGATGCGTACTAACAGCACAGAGAGAAGAAGCTGTAGGAGCAGATTTATTTCAGTGTGAGCTGCAGAAAGGACGGGAGCATGAACCACAGAAGAGGAACAGGAGGATTCCTCACCATGTTTCTGTTCTTGGGTCTAATATGGACACAGCTGCTGATCACAGGTAAGCCTCTGTTGTCTGCATGCTGCTTAGATCAGACATACTAGTATAAATGGTGCTCATATGGGTGGATTAGCCTGTTATTTATGGTCCTTTCTGTCATTAACCTTGTCATAATGAGCCAGAAATGCTTATATCTTTATATGTGAGCATTTATTTGTGTTGCTCAGATAAAATGACCTCTATAATTTGAGATGGAAATAAAACCAGATATATTATGTTACCTGTTCATCTAATATAATCCTATCATGTTGGCTGGTGCCCTGAAATCAGTCACAACAGAAGCTCACACATATGACAGGAATATAATAACAATATGGTGTATCAGTCATGTGATCATTTGTCATTAAATGGGAAACAATGAAGGTTAGATTTTCACAAAGCCTTCCACAGGAATTTATATTGTGGAGTGATCATACAACATGAGAAAAGATGCCAAAGAATATGCTTTTTGCTAACTATTGTCTACATATATGAAGCAAAGAAGACCCACAGTGATGATGAACAACACCTTCATTCATATATAAAGTATTTTTAAGTAATCAATTAGTTTAAACATAACATTCTGGGTCAAAATGTTGGAGAAAATCGGTAAATAAGCTAATATCAATGTAGTATTATGTGGCGTATTACGAGTATTACACTGCTGTTGAGGGAGTTAAGTCAGGATGGACCTCCTAAGGTTTTAAAGCTAATATTTTATTAACATAGAGAGGCGAAGTCCCGCCCTTCTACTTCCGCCCCATGGGACCTTATTTCGGAAAAATGATGTATTGAAGTCAATGGAGAGAGAAAGATTATCTCTCGATCCCGTTTGAATTGTGCCATGAATTACACATATGATGTTTGTCAATTTTAAAAAATCATTTCCATGTCCAAAAAGTCAGAGTTTGTCGTAAAACTGTTGAAATATAAGACTATGAAAAATACGCAACTAGAAAGACTACAAATCCCAGAATCGCGTAAGTGATGTCATAACTGATTTATTCCCTCCACTAAATATAAGAGATAGCTAAAATAAATTAACTTTAACAAGATGCCTGTGTGCTTTGTACCAGGTTGTTATCATACCAGTAATCATACCTCTTGCTCGTTCTTTCGCTTCCCGTCTGAGACCAGAGATCCGTCTGAGACCAGAGATGGAGTTCATTGAGCGTTATTTTATTTTTTTTACTTGCAAAATTATCTTTTAAATTGACAAACATCATATGTGTAATTCGTGGCACAATTCAAACAGGATCGAAAGATAATCTTTCTCTCTCCATTGACTTCAATACATACTTTTTCCGAAATAAGGTCCCATGGAGGTCCACCGGAAAGGGAGGGACTTCGCCTCTCTATAAGCACATTTTAATTGATCATTCATAACATATCATCAGTACACTCAAATCATGTACCTTCCCTATCTGTGAAGGTTAAATATAAACTCACAGGGTCTTTAATATCGTGTTTCCTGTGTGATTGCTAAATGTTGTAATTGAGGTTGAATAATGCTAGCTTTACGCTCACTTTAAAATGGCGTCTTCACGTATTTTGCGAAAAAAGGGCGATTGGTCCACAAGTTATCTATTAGCAATGAACTTGTAGGTGCTCCTGTTAGCACCTTTATCTCCCACACAATCACAGTTGTTGTCAGTAGGGTGCAAGAACACGGTATGCTAACTGTAACACTATGGTATGCCGCCATATTAGTAACTTTACACATTATATGTAGAGCGTTGATTCTTAACTCAGTTTTGTTTATTTGCCCTTTTAGAGAATATTTAGACAAACGAGTTGAGACTTAACGACTATTAGGGCTCGTAACTCGCGGTGTCTTTTTCAAGTATTAATAAACGTTCCTTTATTGGGGTCCTATTATGCTTTTTGGGGTTTTCCCTTTGCTGTGAAGTAGTTCCTTGTGCCATTTTTATATATTTTAATAGTCCGCAATGCTCCACGAAACGCTTCCATTGGACTCATTTGTTTACTTCCAGAACACGGTGACATCCCTATTGAACACTCGCGCTCCTATTGGCTAGCGCTCCAACACATTGTACGTGATAGGCTAAGGGGCGGGACATCTCTGAGTGGTTGACCAATCACAACAGAGCAGGCCAGCTAACCAATCAGAGCAAATTCATTTTATTTTTGTTTATTTTTTAACCAAAAAACAGAAGCTTATATCTGTATTAATGAAAGTAAACGTAACTGGAGCGTTGTTCTGTTTTTTCTGAATTATAGCAAACAGTAATTCAGTTTGAATCACATATTTTACTATTTTTTATTAAACTTAAAGCAACATTAGATGCAGTGTTTTCCCTGTGTGTGTGTGTGTGTGTGTGTGTGTGTGTGTGTGTGTGTGTGGTGTGTGTGTGTGTGTGTGTGTGTGTGTCTGTGTGTGTGTGTGTGTGTGTGTGTGTGTGTGTGTGTGTGTGTGTGTGTGTGTGTGTGTGTTAGGGAGCATGTCTCCATACAGGTTGAGCCCTTCTCTAACTCCACCTCTGATTGGCTGTCTGCCCCCGGGGGTCGACTCCACTATCCAATCAGATCGCAGCTCAGCCCGGCGTCTATAGCAACCAGCATTCTATCGTTAGGGAGAAAAAGCCAGAGAGAAGTCTCTCCGTCTGTGAACACTAACCTAATGCATTCAGTCCTATTTTAAGTCATCTTTACATATTATGATTAATAAGAACTGGTTCATTATTTATTTTCAGTCACAAGATCGTTCTGATTGGTGCAATTTGACTTTTTTCCAATTTATCAGAAAACCCCCCCCCAAAAAGGACTTCATGTGAATGCTCTTTTTTCTTAACTAGCTCAGTCGGAATATTGTCTTTTTTCTCAAGAAAGGCAAACTATTGGAATATTTTGTGCGTGTAAAATGCTGGTTTATTTTCCCACAACCCAAGGTCATGTCTTCAAATGTCTCAATAACCCAAAAGATATTCAATTCACGATCATGCAGTGCAACAAAAAGCTTCAAATCTCCATGTTTCACACGTTGGAACCAGCAAATGTTGCTTTATTTCAATGCATGTCACCTTTTCCAACACAGTAAGCTCACACAAGAGACTCTGACTTGTCTTTTTGTTGAAAATCCTGCCTTTTTGAAGCCGTCAAACCCAGCATGGTTGTATTTCTGTCCTCCTGTCTGCATCTGTTAGTCACTCAGCAGAGTCCTGGCTCTCAGAGACGTTGTGTTGTTGGCAGACAGAAGTCGAGGAGGCACTGTCTCAGATTCTCCGCTCGCTTTATTTCCTGGCAAACAGACCGCCGACGCTGCAGACGTCTGGAAACCTCCAGAGAATTTATCTCTCCGTGGCGTTGTAGTGGAAACCTTTTATCCAGACTAACAGGAGATATGTGCCCGTGTGTTTCATCTGGCTGTTGTATTTTTACATTGTTTTACTATTTAATATGTTTATTTAACAGCTACATAAATAGAGTAGGGATGCAAGCACCAATATCTCTTTAAACCTTGATAAAAAATGTGATCATCTGAACATATTTTAAAAGCATAGAGCCAGGTGGATTTGGCCAAAAAAGAACAGGCAACAGTCGTGGAAATATTACAGATTCTTCCTCGAAAACATACGACTATACGCATTTTTTTACTTTTAGTGGGGCTACAACTCACTATTCTCATTATGATGTATTTTCTGGATAAAGGGATTGTTCATTTGGTCAATAAAATGCCAGAAAACAGTGAAAAATGTCCAAGGTGATGTCTTGTTTTGTCAGATATTCACTTTAATATGATTTAAAAAGAGAAAACGCAGCAAATCTCCAGATTCATTCGGTTAAAAGGGACATTTTCTGACATTTTACCGTGAAAAACAACTTAAACTCTCATTTATTAGCAAAATAATTCACATGTGATCTCTCTATAAACCATCAGATGGGCTCTGTGCAGTGTCTGGAGGTTCTCTGTTTGTGTTTTCTTTAAATAGATGGATCCGGATGCTGCCGGTGCTTCACTCTGTAGACTCTCTTTGACTGAATGAATTATGCAGCGTTCACATTCCTCACGGCTCGCTGATTGCAGCGTCGGGGATTCCTCTCCGACTGTCTTCTTCTTCTTCTTCTTCTTCTGCTTAATGTGTTTTAAATAGCACGATAATTAAGAGTGAATCCTCTCCTAATTTCTTCTTCCTGTTCTCGGAGTCTTAAAAGTCCAAAAATGAAGTTTAGATAAATCCTTCCTCAACATGTGGAGGTGAAGTCTTTGAGAATACAACAAAACGATATACCCCAATATTTCAGGGGTTCAGTGTTAGCAGTGGATACCTTGATTATGGAAGGTCCAAGATTTACAAATGGATAAACTATTTAATCTTTTATCATTTAAACTACTACTAAAAAACAATTGTACGATTACGTGTCTATAGTATAGTAGGTTGCACTGTTGGAGGAGCGTTGGAATTTGCTGTAACTTTTGTCCATTTGACAATAAAGCCCTTTGAATATTACAATTAGTATTTTCTTGAAATGCAGACCCCTTATATGGATAACAAATATCAACACCGAGACCTCCCTATTTCCGCCAGACATTCTCTAAAGTCTTATAAGTGACTCGAGTCCAGTGTTTCCTCCAGACCAGGGCTGAGAGGGCGTCCACCCCGAGAGCGGGGGAGGGGGGGTGTGACGTCACGTTGTGTCACGTGACTTGAATTTTGAATTGAGCCGTCCCTTATAGATACTATCTCTTTACGTATATTAGTGATGGGAATTCCGGCTCTTTTTAGTGAGTGGATCATTTGGCTCGGCTCACTAAGAAGAGCCGGCTCTTTCGGCTCCCAAGCGGCTCTTCATGTTACCACAGTTTACCACGGAGCCTCAGTTTCGCCGCTGCGAGGCTCCGGCGCTCGCAGTTCACGCGCGTGCTCCACTAGCACCCCCCGTCAAGGCTCGCCGGCAGTACACTTTCCGTCACAGGAACACGCTTTGCTGGCGGCGAAAAGCATCCCACCAGACTCCTTTGCCCCTCCAACAGAGGGATGTCCTTGTCCTTTTCCTTTTCGTCATTTCAAGCGATAAAAACTCTCGATCTTCTCTCTAATTATTAATTTTTTTGGACGCCCTCGGCTCGAGTTCAGGGCGTTCCGAGCTGAATAAGGGCCTCAAATGACGGCAAGACGCCCCCCTGGCGGAAACGCTGCTCGAGACGCAGGATGTGTGTTAGTTAAAGAAGACTATAACACCCCTTGTTGTTAAATACCAAATATGTGCTATATGTGCAATATATCGTCAGAACTGTTACAGGATGTGTATTTTGTAAATTGTATATTTTTCTTTAATATTGTTTGTATGCATGCTTCTTAGTTAACATTAAGCTGTCTTTGGCTCTTCTGCTGGAACAAATCAAAATGTATTAAAGGGTATTTGATTCAATTCTGAAGACAGCTATTGGGATTAATAAAGTGCATCTTATCTTATTGGATATGATCAGCTCACCAGCACTCGTCCTCCATCTTTGTTTCCCCTCACTCCTTCTTCTCTCGTCAGAATCGTCCTCTGGAGATCACGAGCTGCGTCTCTTCCCGTCTCGTCGCTCCAGTCTCCTCCATCAGGAAGTGGAAAACCTCCCAGAACCCAAACACCTCCAACACCTTCACCTTCATCATCTTCATCATCACCTTCATCCTCAGCCTCCTGCCGGGTTTTTATCCAAAGCGATGCCGCCCGCTCTGCTGGACTCTCCGTTTCCTCCGGAGCACAAAGTGGTGACCGCACGACATCTGGTGACCGTGGTGAGTAACATAAGCTAAAGGGGAGTGGGGATACACATCATCATAATAATAATGACTTAGATTTATATAGCGCCTTTCAGGGGACCCATGGCCGCTTTACAGAAACACAACACATCCATCCGGATACACCTTGGTGCTATCTAGATTAGAAAGTATTTATTGTCATTTGCAGAAACATATACAACAATGTTTGTGGAGTGCAACCCTGTCAAAGTGCACAGTAACAAAAACAGACAAACAATAAAAACACACCAGTATGACAGACAACGTAAACAATCAAACGGGGGGATACATAGTTAACCTGTTAAGCTTAACGTGTGTGACGGGAAGAAACTAAGCTAACTGACGATATGAATTGTTTTTACCGAAACAAAACACAAGTCTCACAAGAAGCGTCTAAATGAGCCCTGAGCGAAAAAATGCTAACACACTTAGCACAGAACTCAAGGTAAAAATACCCTTATTATTTATCGTATCTGCACATACAAGATATCGATTAGCAAGATGAGATTCCACAGATTCCAGAAATATCAGTATCATCACTGAGCGATCAGAACTCGCGACAGGGTAAGCAAACACAGACAACACACGACGTAGCTTTCGGTAGCAAAACACGGAGATATGCTCACCTTTAGCTGTTATTCTGATCAAAAGTTGTGTTCAATGGCATTAAAATGATAGAAACGCGGCTGAAGGTTAATCCATAGGTTAATCCAATGTGTCTGTCACTTTGAAAAAATTATTGATAATCCATAATTCAATTTTTATGTCAAAACCAGAGTTTTCATATTAGCTGCTAATGATAGCTTCCAGAGTGTATGACAGCTTCCTGTTTTGGGTATTCTGGCTACGCATCACTCTCACTCTTTATTTGGTAACGTGTGTGTGCATGTGGAACTTCCCCTCGATTCTATTGGCTCTGACGGTTAAAAAGAGGTGTCAATCATCAAAATCGACCAATGGGGGCCAGAGAAATGGAAAATCCACCCAAATGACCCCAGAAGTGTTTTTTTTGCTAAATCTCTCTAAAAAGGTCAAATGTCACTTGTTTTGCATCAATCTTGATACAGGGTACTTATTATATGTTATAGTTTGGATTCCTAAAGCTTTTAGTCTACTATCCCATCATTCAAGGGTGGTTTTCACTATAAGTAGGGTTTATTTTTTGCGGACACTATAATTTACATTTTTTTCCTATGTTCAATCTGAATTTACTTTAAAATAATAAAAAATCTATATTGATTCTGACACTTCTACATCCAACTCACAGGTTTATCATTGCTTTGAGAAAAAAGATTATTAATTTATCCCTTTTAGAAGTGAAGTTATAGTAATTTGTTCTGGGAATGTCATTTTCGAGCCTGAGACCTGAAAAACAGGCTCTGGGCTGAACAGGTTAAGAGCACTGGAGTAAGAAGCCATGAAGTGCATTTAAAAAGTTGAACATTTCCCAGGGAGATTCTGAAGCAGAGTTTTTAATTGGATAATGACAAATATCTACCAAAATTAACCGTATTCTTGTTAGTTTCTGAAGACAAGCACCCTTAGCTATGATGGATTACTCGCAGTTGCAGGTGTTTTTAGGTTTAGGTGTACTGGTCCAGACGTTTCTTCGTGTGTTTCGGCACATTTGTGTTTTTGTATCTGTATAATTTCTCCTAATGGGAATGTTTTTGGGGTCTTTGTAGTGCGTTTGCCCCCCGTCAGCCACCGTACCTCAGCTTGTCTCGGCTGTAGACGTGTTTTTTTCTATAAAGCTTCCCTGATACGAAGCTCTAATAAAACACAATAACATAACGAGATTTATCAGACAGTAAGTGAGTGATGGACGAGGAGCTGCAGACTCTCTGGAGAGATGCTGCTGCACTCTCTGTTGCCATGGAAACACTTATCATGACTGTGTGTGTGTGTGTGTGTGTGTGTGTGTGTGTGTGTGTGTGTGTGTGTGTGTGTGTGTGTGTGTGTGTGTGTGTGTGTGTGTGTGTGTGTGTGTGTGTGTGTGTGTGTGTGTGACCCACTTACCTACACAATGGGCGGTTGCATAACAGTAGATAACCAGCAGCGACCTTCAGAGTGACATTGAGACGCAGACAGGTGCTCTGCCTTTTTATAACAGAAACCAGAGCCCAGTATGTTGTGATTGGTCAACCTGCTTAGAGATGTCCCGCCCCCTTTAGCCTATTACGTACAATGTGCTGGAGCGCTATAGCCAATAGGAGCGCCAGTGTTCCGTAGTGATGTCACCGTGTTCCGGAACTCCTGTGTGATAGCTGTCATTAGTGCACAGTGTTTGTTATAAGTAGGAGGAGTTATTTATAGGAGATTTGAATATTTCATTTGAATATCCGCACGTCTCAGCCATGGATGTTTAATAAGAACTGGATACAGCGTGGGAGGCGGGGTCTCGTTCTTTCCTATGAGAGCTGCTCATTGGCGCATGAAGGCAAAATGGCCCAACTTTTGAGAGAGCGAAACGTCACAGATTACCCATCATGCCTAGCTGTCAGAGCAGAAGAACCCGTATGTGCGCTCACAGAGCATGCTGATTTACAGACGTCTCTTTCCCAATGTTAGTCAATGGGAGAAAGTTGTTTTGGGCCGGGTGACGTCACGGACTGATACGGAAGTTGCAGTACCGCCGTTTGGGCACTACGAATGTTGGGCACAGAGTCCGGCGCACTTCCTGGGGGCTTGGTCTCAGCTCAGTCAGAGAATATCGTCGCCAGAGATGCATTGTGGGAGGCAAATCTGGAAAATAGATGTGAATGCTGGGAGTTTTCTGACCCACATATAAACGTCTGTAGGTTATATATCTCCCATAGTACGGAGCTTGGTCCTGGGGGGTCTGAGGAGCTTGGAGTTGCTGGAGCGGGTGGTCCGCAAGGAGGTATTGGGGGTGAGGAGTTCCTTAAGGTAGGGGGGGGGGCAGTTCCATGGATACACTGGTGGGTGAGGACGGAGACCTTGAATTCGATCCTCAGTTCCACGGGGAGCCAGTGTAGTGATTTAAGGATGGGGGTGGTATGATCGTATTTGCGCACCCTCATCAGGATCCTAGCAGCGCTGTTCTGGATGTTCTGGAGCTTCTGGATGCTTTTGTTAGGGATCCCGATGAGGAGTGCGTGGACCAGCTTTTCGGCGTCAGACAGAGAGAGTGTGGGGCGGAGTTTGGCGATGTTCCTGAGGTGATAAAAGGAGTTCTTGCACAGCTGTTTAATGTGAGCCTCAAAGGTCAGATGGGCGTCCATTTTCACACCCAGGTTGGTGACTGTTGAGGAGAGGGTAATGTCCTGGCCGGAGAAGGTGATGGTGGTGATGGTGGATGACCGAACCTGGTGTGGGGTGCCAACTATAATGGCTTCGGTCTTAGAGCTGTTGAGTTTCAGGAAGTTTTGCTTCATCCAAGTTTACGATTTGTAACGTTTATTGCAATACCAGTTGATGAATGGAGCAGCTAATAAACTGTATGGGCTATATAATGGACATTTCTATTTATTATCTGGTAAATTCTCTCACATATTTCTTTAAAACATAACTTATTGTCAGCAGTAGAAAAGTGTCCTTATGTAACAAAGAGCGTATTTTGTTACAGGGCATTCCCTTTAAAAAGCAACTCGTGATGAACAGACCGTCCTCTGCTTTTATCAATGAGACTCCGCTGTGAGGCGAACGCTTACATAACGCTGTATTCTGTGTTAATTGACTTCCTGTTTATGTGTCACATGACCTGTCCCTGCAGGCTGCCCCCCCCCCCCCCCCCTCACAACACTGAGAGGAAATACAAAGCTTGAGTGATGACACAAGAGCGTGACAATCTGAATATTACTCATTTATATGAAGAAAATTACATTTTATAGATATTTTAATATACTAGCAGGTTTCACTGAGTCAAGCAAATCATTGTAAATAAATGTAATGCTTTCATGGATAAAGTACTTTTTTAAACATCAGAAAAACGTAATTGTTAATTGGCTTTTTTATTTTTATTAGAGTTAAGTCTATCCAAAGTTATTATCTATAATATTGTTTAGTTTTATTATGGCTATTATTAGTTGTATAATTTAACAACAGAATAACATGTTCAGATGGAGGCAGAGAGGTTGTGTAAGTCACAGATGGTCCCCAGTCACACCATGCATGCATGCGTGTGTGTGTGTGTGTGTGTGTGTGTGTGTGTGTGTGTGTGTGTGTGTGTGTGTGTGTGTGTGTGTGTGTGTGTGTGTGTGTGTGTGTGTTGTGTGTGTGTGTGTTAAGAATGGAGAAACCAGCTTGAGTGGCTAGAATTTGAAAGTACACAAACCGAAAACAATCTGCCACTTCCTTCAGACTTCCTTCCAGAGCCCCCTCCTCCAAACACACACGCGCACATGACCAATGAGGGCACGAGATAAGTTTGTGCACGAGATGGAAAGGCCCTCACTGAGTTCTTTAATATCGCTGCTAACACTTAGTGAAAGAACTTCAAAAAAGGAAATGTTTAAAGGGGACCTATCATGCAAAATGCACTTTTGTACGTCTTTTCTACATGAATATGTGTCCCCGGTGTTCCAGGGAACTCACCAAGTGTCAGAAAACACAACCCTCTCTATTTTCCTCCATACCCAAATCTCTAAAAAAGGGCTGCTGCAACGGATCTGATAAAAACTGATCCAGATTTGAACACTGTCCTGACGTCAGGACGGTGGCGCTACGGCTATTGGGCCAACTCCACCAATCAGGAGGAGACGGCCACGGCCATTGCCGTTCAAAGCGCTGGATGTGTGTGTGTGTGTGTGTGTGTGTATGTGTGTGTATGTGCGGGTGTGTGTGTGTGTCTATTTAATAATTCATGTCAGCCGTGTGTGTAACGTCTAGTGGAGGAAACTTTGACGCCACTCCAAACCCACGGAGAGAATCATGAATCATCCAGATATCTGTCACACTGCGGCGTCTTCTTGTGTACGAACACAGCGGCCTTTGTAGAAGAAACAGATCAGGAATCATTTCTGAAATTAAAGTTTTAAATGATAAGGAAAACATTCTGATATAATACGGTTCAGTTCTCACAAATATTTGTATAATCTAAGAGAAAATGCAAGGTATTTCTTTTTTTACATTTGAGATTTCTTTTTCTCGTATGTTTGTCTTTTTTTTTCTCTCCGCAAATTCACATATTTTTTTTCTTGTCAATTATTTTTCTCCTAAATTTGAGATTATTATTTTTTTTTTAATTTTTTCTAGTAAATGTTTGGATCTTTTTCCTTCTATTAAATTTGAGAAGTATTTTTTTTTCTTTTTCTTGTAAATGCACCAGTACCTCCTGCAAAGTGCTTATTTTAGCTGTAATAACGTAACATATTTATGTTCAGATAATGCTGTAATCATGACTCTGATACTAACGTCATATTCATTGAGTAAAATATTCCACTCTGATGCAGATTATTGAGCGTGCTCTGCTCCGTTTTTTCTCAACGGAAACAACATAAGAGTGAATAATCTAACCTCACGTCAACCCACCCATTCAGCCGTGAGTGTGCGCCTGTGTGTGTGTGCGCCTGTGTGTGTGTGTGTGCGCCTGTGTGTGTGTGTGCGCCTGTGTGTGTGTGTGTGTGTGTGTGTGCGCCTGTGTGTGTGTGTGTGTGCGCCTGTGTGTGTGTGTGTGACAGTGATCTCATTGAGTGTGACGTTGCACGTGACCATCACGTTTTTCCCGTTGGCGCCCTGAGGAAAAGCTGCACAACTCAAACGCTGCAACACAATATTTCACCACTCCTGCCTGATTCAGTTCATATTCTATAGAAATAAAAACATATTGACGTGAATCATGACATTCATTCTAGAGTACATTTAAAATGTCAGATTAATGAACTCAACTTCAAGTTTTTAGCAAATCACAAACACATGGTTTAAAAAGTCCAATCCTTAAATGAAATATTATTGCATGAGATTCAACAGAAATGTCCATCATCTCAAACAGAAGCAATCAATCAATTATCAGAATTAGCAGATCATTGTTGTTGTCAATTAACCAATCAATTAATTGACTTTTTTCGAAAAAGACTCTTTTTTTACAGGATTATTTGACAATAAAAAAAACTAATTCCCATCCATCCCTCTCAACCAATTAAACAAATATTTTGTATTTATATAATCAACTTTACCCCCTCTTTTTCTTCCGGCATCCCCCTCCCCACTCTAATATCTGATTGGCCCCTCACCCCACTGCCCTGAGTGCTATCAGCTAATTAGTGGCCATTACCAATGTGTGTGTCTGTGAGTGTGTGTGTGTGTGGTGTGTGTGTGTGTGTGTGTGTGTGTGTGTGTGTGTGTGTGGTGTGTGTGTGTGTGTATGTACTGTATGTGTGTGTGTGAGAGTGTTTGTATGTATGTGAGTGTGTGTGTGTGTGTGTGGGGGGGAGGGTGTGTGTGTGTGTGTGTATGTAATGTATGTGTGTGTGTGAGAGTGTTTGTATGTATGTGAGTGTGAGTGTGATGTGTGTGTGTGTGTGTGTGTGTGTGTGTGTGTGTGTGTGTGTGTGTGTGTGTGTATGTACTGTATGTGTGTGTGTGAGAGTGTTTGTATGTATGTGAGTGTGTGTGTGTGTGTGTGTGTGTGTGTGTGTGTGTGTGTGTGTGTGTGTGTGTGTGCGTGTGTGTGTGTGTGTCAGGACAGAAATAGCACCTGATCCTGACAGGAAGCGCAGCGGGATAATGGCATTACCTGGACGACAGCCAATCAGGTGGCAGGTTCAGCTCCGTCCCCCTGTAAGCCAATCACAGATCAGGAATGATTAGATCAGGAAATGGAGCGAAAAGTCCCCGAGCTGTGACTGACAGGCAGCGTCCATTCAGAGAAAACCTTCCTGTTGTTCCACGGGAGGAAAAACAATGTTTACATGTTCGCTAGGTAAGGTTGTTTAGTTATCGTTGTTTACTTATTTAGATTGTTTACGTTCTTGTTTATAGCCTGTGGTTGTTTACTTGTTTGTTTTTTGATCATTTGGTCGTTTACTTCTATTGTTTTTTCAATTAGTTTGTTGTTTCTTTTATTTATTTTTACTTTTATTTATTTTTGGCTTTTTTGACTTGTTATTTTTTTTATCATTTATTTATTTTTGGGTCATTTTGTTGTTTGATTCTTTAGTCACTAACTTGTTTATTTGGCTTTTTAGTCGTTGGTATTTTTCTTATTCTTCGGTCGTTGTTGTGTACTTGATTGTTTACTTGTTTCTTTTCTTGGTTGTTTTCTTTACCCTTTAGTTTGTTTAAATGTCACTTAGTTGCTTAGTTGTTTTTGGACTGGTAGAAAGTCGTTAACTTGTTTTTTGGGAAACTGCTAATGGTTTTTCATAATTAGCTGACGGAAAGTCATCTAGAAATATTCACTAACACTGAAAACAAAAGTTCATTGCGATTCAAACTGAAGGTGATTTGTTTGTACAGCAGGATTTTCTTTTTCTGTATGAGACAGACTGATGTGTGTGTGTGTGTGTGTGTGTGTGTGTGTGTGTGTGTGTGTGTGTGTGTGTGTGTGTGTGTGTGTGTGTGTGTGTGTGTGTGTGTGTGTGTGTGTGTGTGTGTGTGGTGAGCCTGTCTGGCTGTGGTTATTGTTCCTGATATTGAATTAAGTGGCAACAGGACATGCTGTTGTTGTTCTGTTTTAACCATCAGCACACACACACGCACACACGCACACGCACACACACACACACACCTGATGGTAGTACAGCTGCAGAGGTAGGCGTAATGTCTCTTTTTGTTGTAACCTCATTTCCCTGTAGACTGTATGCATTGATCTTATATCATCGTAGCACAACGACTGGAAGCAGGTGGAAACTGTTAGCCTTGCTCCATCAAAAGACAAATACTACACCTTATTTACCTTTCTACAGTCTGTGTGTCCTAGCAACATCAGCAACACGGATCAACTCAGTGTGTGTGTTTGTGAGTGTGTCTGTGTGTGTGTGTGTGTGTGTGTGTGCGTGTGTGTGTGTTTGTGAGTGTGTCTGTGTGAGTGTGTGTGTGTGTGTGTTTGTGTGTGTGTCTGTGTGAGTGTGTGTGTGTGTGTGTGTTTGTGAGTGTGTCTGTGTGAGTGTGTGTGTGTGTTCATAAGCCCTCAGGGTCTTCTTCCAAAGATGTGTTTCCTGTTGTTTTTACTCTCCCCCCCCCCACACACACACACACACACACACACACACACACACACACACACACACACACACACACACACACACACGCACACACACACGTAACACTAAATCCAGGATGAGTAATTAGTGTGTGTGTGTGTGTGTGTGTGTGTGTGTGTGTGTGTGTGTGTGTGTGTGTGTGTGTTTTACCTGTCTCCAGTAACACTTTAGCTGAAAGCTGAGAGACTGTTGGGAAAACCAGAGGCAACCCGAGGGAGAGTAAAACCATAGCAGAGATGTTTTGATTCAATCTGTTCAGAGAGAACTAAACCTCAGCCATGTTGGATTCTTTCAGGATGAATCGAAAATAATAAACTACATGCTAGTAATTGAAGGTTATGAAGTGTCTCTGCTGGGACACGTCTCCATGCTCTAATGTTCAAAAAGCTCTTTATTTCTCTCATACTGCCTGTGCTGCAGCACCTCTTTACACCCTCTGTCTGAAACCAGAGCCCAGTCCGCTCTGATTGGCTGATTGGTAGAGATGTCCCGTACAATGTGTTGGAGGGCTAGCCAAAAGGAGCTCAGGTGTTCTGTAGTGATCATCTTTTTAAATCATTGATTAATAACATGCTGTATCTCTCCCTCCCTCTCTCAGTACCTGGCTGTGGATGTGCGGAGGCTGAACAAAGGTCTTCTTCGTTGGTTTCGAGAGGGTGTAGCTGCGGCGCTGGGCGTTCCTGCAGGACACGTTCACATCCACCGTCTGAATGTAAGACAACACACACACACACACACACACACACACACACACACACACACACACACACACACACACACACACACACACACACACACACACACACACACACACACACACACACACACACACACACACACACACACACACACAGAGAGAGAGATGGCAAAAGTTCACACATCCTTTACTCAAGTAGAAGTACAGATACTCGTGTTTAAAAATACTCTGGTGAAAGTAGAAGTACTGACTAAATTTCTTTACTCAAGTAAAAGTAAAGAACTTTGAAATGTACTTCAGTAAAAAGTACCCATAACTAGCAGCTGTTTTAAAGAGTACCTGACCTCCCTTTATATTAATAGAACAATAATGTCATTGTTAGCTAATGAATGTTTCCATGCTGAACAACGGCAACATGACAACGTTTTCATTGGTCCCTCTTCTTTAGAGAAGACCAGGAAATGATGGATACACGGATCGTGTTCAAATCAATAGGCACGCAATGACTCTAAATAATAATGATCACGCCACCAAACACACATTCAAACTAAAGGAACCAGCCTGTTTGGGAAATGTGAGAAGTAGAAAGTACAGGTATTTGTGTTCAACATGTAAGAAGTAGAAAGTACAGGTATTTGTGTTCAACATGTGAGAAGTAGAAAGTACAGGTATTTGTGTTCAACATGTGAGAAGTAGAAAGTACAGGTATTTGTGTTCAACATGTAAGAAGTAGAAAGTACAGGTATTTGTGTTCAACATGTAAGAAGTAGAAAGTACAGGTATTTGTGTTCAACATGTAAGAAGTAGAAGTACAGGTATTTGAGTTCAACATGTAAGAAGTAGAAAGTACAGGTATTTGAGTTCAACATGTAAGAAGTAGAAAGTACAGGTGTTTGGGTTCAACATGTAAGAAGTCAAAGTAAAAAGTCGTCAGAAAAATAAGTAGTGGAGTAAAGTACTGATACCAGAAACATGTACTTAAGTACAGTAACAAAGTATTTGTTGTTAATTGTTTAATTACATTTTTCTCCCCCAGGAGAAGAAGAATGGCATCGAGCTCTTCGTGTCCTCTGATAGGCCGGGAGTCTCCGAGCCCCTCCCCGCTGAAGAGGTCATCCAATCACTGAACATCAGGGTCCTGCATCGACACCTGGGACACTTCGGCATCACCGAGGTCTCCACCGAGGTGTGTGTGTGTGTGCTCCGTTTCCTAGGTTACAGCAGCTCGTTAGTCACCGTGGAGACAGACGGAGGATAGATGGGGTTTATTAGAGCGCTGAGTGCTGCTACTGAAACTTTAATGCAGCTGTTAAAGTCCGATCAATCAGGCGGCGCCGTTATATTTTATATTATTTAATCACTCTTACTGCCACAGAGAGAAGGGACCGCTCCTCTGTGGTAATATTATTAAAGCAACACATCAGAAACTCCCCGTAGGAGCTTTAAACACATAATATGTAATAAAAACAACAGTAACAATTGAGTTGTGTGTGGCGGTGAAGCAGCAAGGCATCATGGGAATTGTAGTCTTCAGCGTCTTCTGGTTAAGAGCATCTTCTAATATAAATATGTGTAAACTCTCTCCTGTAGAAGAACGTGCTGCAGGGCGAGCAGCGGGATCACGTTTGGAGCCCAGAGAGTTTCTACGCCGTCGTCCTCTTCTTCACCGTCTTCGTCATTGTCATCACCTGCTTGATGGTAAACACTTAACATTTTTGTTGCCATACATATTGAGATACAAAGCATTTAGTATTTCATCTTTGTCAATTTAATTCATTTAATGTATTATTTTCCTATTTTGTTAAAAAATATATATAATCTGTGTTTGTACATCTGTGCTTTTACCTTAATAAAGTTGTTTTAATATTATTTTGCATTTGATAATAATGAGCATTAACAATGTGTAATCTTCAAATAGAACATTTACATAAAATAAATGAATTAAAAACACAATTAATATGTAATAAAAACATATTATATAAACAAATGAAATGAAACGATACATATTAATACATATATTAGAAATTATATTGAAATATTAATTGATTATGCTAATACTATTCATTATATTTTAGTTGCATTGTGACATTTAATCCACAAGAGGGAGCTGTTGCACAGAGAAACCAGATGTTTCAGTTAATATCATCTGTTTTATCTCTAAGACCTGAACATAAAGATCCTTATTTAATTAAAATAAATATAATTAAAATATATTCATATATGTATGTGTGCTTAAACGTTTGTACTTAATTTAGAAAATAAATGAAATTAATGATTGCACTTTTCTCTGCTGTTTGCTCTGCAGGTTTTGTTCCGACTGAAGGAGAAGGTCCAGGTTTGTGACAGACAGCTGAAGGCCCCGCCTCTTGACCTCCACCTGACCCCCACCGTCCAATCAGACTCCGCCCAGAAGTCAAAGGGTGCCAAGGTTGGCAACACACACCAAAACCCTTCATAAACACACACATAAAGCACAATAAAGACTAAATAATGATACTTAATGTCCTTCAGGTTGTGTCGTCAGGAAGCATGGTACAAGCTGAGCTCCCGCCAATTGTAGCCAAGCCCATTCGTCCGCAGCAGCCAATCACAGCCTGCCGTCGCCTCGCTCCTCCTGTCCCTCTGCCCAGGTACGTCAGCTGACTAAACGTCATCACCTTTATCTTAGCGGTGGTGACGTGAAGTCATGTGACCGTGCTGTAGTTCCTTTATAGCCTAACATTAGCCACCTTTAGCTTAGCGGTGGTGACGTGAAGTCATGTGACCGTGCTCTAGTTCCTTTATAGCCCAACATTAGCCACCTTTAGCTTAGCGGTGGTGACGTGAAGTCGTGTGACCGTGCTGTAGTTCCTTTATAGCCCAACATTAGCCACCTTTAGCTTAGCGGTGGTGACGTGAAGTCATGTGACCATGCTGTAGTTTCTTTATAGCCCAACATTAGCCACCTTTAGCTTAGCGGTGGTGACGTGAAGTCATGTGACCGTGCTGTAGTTCCTTTATAGCCCAACATTAGCCGCCTTTAGCTTAGAGGTGGTGACGTGAAGTCATGTGACCGTGCTGTAGTTCCTTTATAGACCAACATTAGCCACCTTTAGCTTAGCGGTTGTGACGTGAAGTCATGTGACCGTGCTGTAGTTCCTTTATAGCCCAACATTAGCCTCCTTTAGCTTAGCGGTTGTGACGTGAAGTCATGTGACCGTGCTGTAGTTCCTTTACAGCCCAACATTAGCTTTTTACTTCTTTCTCTTCCTCGTAGCTCCTCCCTTGTGCCAGTCTTCAGCAGCTTTGACCACACCCCCCTCGTCAGCGTTGCCCCGGTGACAGCCAATCACGAGCTAAAGCCGTGCCCCTCCCCCTTCAGGATGAAACCTTCCGCCGGACTGCAAGAGAGGTGAGGAGGGCGTCTGGACAATATTTGTTATTATTTAGATCTTCTTTATCCACCTTTCATATTAAAAATAAATCATCCTTTTTAATGCAAGGATTTCATTTTATTTTAAAAACTACATTCATTATATTGAAATTATTTTTGTAATTAGCAATGCGCCTCAGTTTCTCTCCAAGAGCTGTAGAAGAGATGCATGATGGGAAACAAGTTGCATGTTTACACACCAAATCGCTAAATTAGGGGAATTTTTACCCGTGCTCCATTACAGAAACACACATGAGCCCTCAGTGTGTGTGTGTGTGTGTGTGTGTGTGTGTGTGTGTGTGTGTGTGTGTGTGTGTGTGTGTGTGTGTGTGTGTGTGTGTTTAGAGTACAGTCACCTCTAACCTGCGATTGTTGCAGCAGTCAGGGGTCGAGCTGCGTACGTGCTGAAAAGGAGGCTTCAAAGTGTGTGTGTGTGTGTGTGTGTCCTCATCCTATAGTTCATAAGGATTTATATTGTGATAGTGAAGTACGTCTTCCTCCACACACACAGAGTACACACAGAACACAGAGTACGTGATGTTTATCTGCAGGGAGGTTTCAGGAAGGTGTACGTTGACAGAGATTACGTTAAACCTCTGTGTCTCATTTCCTTCGATTCATATAAACTCTGCATCACTGTCTGAATCTGATTTATTTTACACCACAGTTCAACATGGCAATTATTTGAATTTTATTTTATATTAATATTATTTCAATATATATATTTTGTTCTAACTATAATTATTTTTTATTTGAACATGATAACTATTTGCAATTTATTTTATATATATATTTTTTCTAATTATTCAATGATAACTATTTTAATTTTCATAGATAATATTGACACACTTCAATAGATCTTTATTGTATTGTTCTTTCTTTTGATTTGATGTATTCCTTATTGCTTCAATGATTTAAAATGTTAAATATTCCTTTTATCTGATACCAATAAATAAGTGAATATCTCAAACATCATACATATATATAATAAAACACTGTCAGGGAACCTTTTAATGCACGATTAACTATTCAACTAACGTAAAGGTCCCATGTCACGGCCATTTCTACTGATCATAGTTCCATTGTTGAGGTCTACTAGAATAGATTTACATTGTTCAATGTTCCAAACTCACATTGGTTTCTCATACAGCATCTCTGTATAGTATGTGTATTCACTCTCTGTCCTACACGCCTTGTTGGAGCTCCTGCCCCCCCCCTTCCCTATGAGCCCACTGTGCTCTGATTGGTCAGCTCGCCCACTCTGTTCTGATGAGTCCACCACCGTTACAGCGGAACATCAGTGATTATGTTTTACAATGGCGTTAGCAACAAGCCCCCAGGAAGTGCGCCGGACTCTGATGAAAATATTCGTAGTGTCCAAACGGTGGTACTACAATTTCCGTATCAGTCCGTGACGTCACCCGGCCCAGAAAGACTTTTCCCCATTGACTAACATGGGGAAAGAGACATCTGTAAATCAGCGGATCATTATTTTTAAACTAAATAAACTACCCAGTATGAACTATTGTATAGCCCTTATTAGAATCATTCTATCCTTAAAGTTGTAAAATGCACTAAAAGCCGAATCTAGATTTATTTTCTGTCTCCATTCATTCTAGTGAGCCGAGAGTGGGAGCTCGGGGGAGCGGGGCTTAAGGGGCGCATGCTCTGTGAGCGCACATACGGGTTCTTCTGCTCTGACAGCTAGGCATGATGGGTAATCTGGGACTTTTCGCTCTCTCAAAAGTTGGGCCATTTTGTCCTCCAATGAGCAGCTCTCATAGGAAAGAACGAGACCCCGCCTCCCACGCTGTATCCTGTTCTTATTAAACATCCATGGTTAGCAACCAGAAAATGACCCCAGTAATGACAAACAGATGAGAATGCTGCGTGGGGTCTGGGTGCCGTGTTGGCGGGACGTTGCGGGGCTCGCTGCTGCGGACAGTGTGAGCTGGATTACTGGTGTCGTTTTCCTGGTTGCTGCGTGGGGTCTGCGAGACATCGCGAAACTCACCTGAACTCAGCCTGAGCACACACACACACACACACACACACACACACACACACACACACACACACACACACACACACAGGCTGAGAAATCCACGGAGCCGCAGCTGAGAAAAGATAAGGCTGAGTGTGTGTGTGTGTGTGTGTGTGTGTGTGTGTGTGTGTGTGTGTGTGTGTGTGTGTGTGTGTGTGTGAGGAGCTCCACGGATTGGTCTATTTGGACCTGGGTACGGGCACGTCACTGAGACCAGGAATAAATAAATGGAAAAAGAGAAATGTCCAACGAGGCGTTCTGGGGCAGCATAGACAGGTCTTCTCTGTGTTAGAGTTTTACTCCCTACAGGGTGCACTTTGAGGGTTTGTGACTCTGCAGACCGTTTACATGCAGAAGCTTCATACCATACTTGGAAGTCTTATTCGCTGCTTTTGGTGTATTTTGTGGCAGAAGTACAGCGCCACTTACAGGCCCGGCATATGTACTACAGCGTCTCCAGCGGGTCGAGTGGTCTCGTGTGGAAGGACACGTTTCTGGTGCCTATTGCGTGTGGATGGAAGACTTTTTTGATAACGATTTCGGTTCGTTTGCGTTACCGTTCTCGTGTGGCTCCAGCCGGAGTCACAACATTTCATTTTTTTTAACTAAAGTTTGGGCGTGAGAAACTCCGATTTTTGTTCTTCAAAATAAACCTGAGGTCATTTTTCAAAGTGTCTGTAGTGAGTGTTGCTCCGACAGCTCTTTCTTCAACTAAAGCACTTTCATAAGAGAAAAGAAAACACCTTTATCTCATCGTTGAGCACTTTAGCCGTTATCTGCCGCGCGTTACTCTTTCCTGCCCGGCAGCCATCTTGTTCTGTTACATCAGCGCTTACAGTGAGGTGTGCAAACTTTAAGGTATGGAGGAAGATCTCTCAGTGAGAACAGGATGTTTTCTGGGTGTCTGTGAAAATATCTGTGTGTGTGTGTGTGTGTGTGTGTGTGTGTGTGTGTGTGTGTGTGTGTGTGTGTGTGTGTGTGTGTGTGTGTGTGTGTGTGTGTGTGTGTGTGTGTGTGTGTGTGTGTGTGTGTGTGTGTGTGTGTGTGTGTGTGTGTGTGTGTGTGTGATGTTCACTCTGGATGGCAGCCAATCAGCAATCAGACGAGTAGGAAGTAACGGCATCCTGGAGAGGAAGCCGACGACACGTAGCCAGACGAAGAGATCAACACCTCTTATTATTTAATTTACTTATATTTAAAAAAACAAAACAAGACACCCTTTTGATTAGCTTTGATGTAAAATCCACTACAAAACCTTGAGCATTTATTTTTATTTTTATATATTTCCTTTTGTTTATCTCGAGTTACACTTATTAGAAAAATACATCAATAGCTAAAAAGAAAGCCTTGGTCGATTTGGACACATTTTTGAGTGGTTTTGGGGGTTATTGAGGAGGTTGAATCCATTTATGACATTTTTAGGATCATAAATGTCAGTTTTAACCAATAAACTGGCCATATTTGTGCTCACGTGGACTGATTTTGACCAATTTAGTGTCGATTTTAGAGTATAGTGCCATTTTTGGAGCTCAAAACGTCATTTGTTTTGTTTTACGGACTGAAAACGGCAATTTTTGGAGCTCAAAGTGTAATATCCTAATAATGTCTCCCCCCAGACGTGGCTCTAACGTCTCCCTGGTGTTGGACATGTCGGTGCTGGGCTCCGTGGAGCCGCTGAGCGTCGCCCCCCCGGTGACGCCCCGCGAGGCTGCCGCCAGAGAATACCTGCTGGCCGCCCGACGACCTCTGACCCGACAGCAGCTCCGAGACGTCGTGCAGAACACACACACTCTGCACACTGAATTTGCTGTGAGTAGTCAAGGTGTTCCCTCACCTGTAGTGAGATCTATATGTGTGCATGTAAATGGTCTGCAAAGGCTATGTTGTAGTCTTCAGCGGTTTGTAGTGCTCATCGTGAGGTTGTTATATATTCAATGACATCACTGACACATTTTTTCACTTAAATTGACTTACATTTCTATAATAAAGCCTCTTTAAAGTAATAAGAACAGCTGATATAAAACAACAATATGCTCTGACGTGAGATTATCGTATTTGTGAGTTCAGGTCCATTTAATGAACTTAAAAACATGAGGTTATTGCCTCCAGTTATATAACACACTGACAGAGTGTGGATCATTTGTTTTTCACATTTCTAACGTTACATTTTTTCTCATCAGGAAATCCCCATGAATTTTATTGATCCCAAGGAGCTCGATATTCCAAACCACGGGACCAAGAACAGATACAAGACCATACTGCCCAGTGAGTACAGAGAGTGTGTGTGTGTGTGTGTGTGTGTGTGTGTGTGTGTGTGTGTGTGTGTGTGTGTGTGTGTGTGTGTGTGTGTGTGTGTGTGTGTGTGTGTGTGTGTGTGTGTGTGTGTGTGTGTGTGTGTGTGTGTGTGTGTGTGTGTGTGTGTGTGTGTGTGTTGCTAGGAAACTGCCACCGTCTCAAAACAGTCCTTTTCTCGCTTCCTTTTGAACCTGGAAGTTGTTTTATTACCTGGGAGGGGCTCAAGGTCAAAGGCCAACAACCTCAAGGACGCTCAACATCGCACCTCCCTTCACACACACACACACACACACACACACACACACACACACACACACACACACACTGGAACAATGCATGTCCCTCAGAGCACAGTTTGTTCTCACACTGTAAGCCAAACAGTTTGCCTGATTAAGACATTAGGTAACACACACACACACACACGCACACACACACACACACACACACACACACACACACACACACACACACACACACACACACACACTGATGTTTTGTAGAGGGGGCGGGGTTATCAATACAACAATAAGTAAGGGGGGGGTTCCTTCCTTCCTTCCGGCCAATCAAGACTCAGGAATGCTCACCTAGAGCTGCTGTCAATCAAACTACTTCCTGTGTTTCTGAGTCGTCCTTTTCTTTATCAAGTTTATATTCTCCTACTGTAAATGCAATCATTTGATCATTTAATTTACTTTAATTTCGAAGGATTTAATCTAATTAATTTTTATATATATTTTGAATAATTATTTGATATACTTTTATTTTTGGAGGATTAAACGTAAATAGATTATACATTAGATTTGATTAAAAAAAAATGCAATTATTTAATTTAATATAAAAAGAAATGCCCGTGATGTTTTAATGTAACAGGCTTGGAACCAATAGAGAGAGTCTCAACGTAGATTTAGTTTGAACTACATTTTGTCCCCTTTTGTGTTTCCAGACCCTCACTCCAGAGTCACCCTGAAGTCCAAGAGCTGCAACGACCTGCTGAGCTCCTACATCAACGCCAACTACATACGGGTGGGTGAAAGCAGCTCGACTCTATTTCCGGATATTTTACTCATATATTTTTGCTAATTTCTTGCAATTCTTTAACATTTTCTTCGGAAATGTTTCTTTACATTTTCCAGATATTTTACCAATATTTTTTGCTCCTTTTCTGGACATTTTAATCCGTTTTTTCGGACAGTTTTTTCCAATTTTACGACGTATTTTTAACGTGTTTTATAGGCACTTTTCCAACATTTTACTCATCCTTTTTTTATACATTACAAATGTAATAAAAAAATACTCAATAAAGTACCTCAAACACACACACACACACACACACACACACACACACACACACACACACACACACACACACACACACACACACACACACACACACACACACACACACACACACACACACACCCACACACACACACACACACACACACACACACACACACACACACACACACACACACACACACACACACACACACACACACACACACACACGCACACACACACACACACACACACACACACACCCACAGTGAAAGTGTACTCCTGTTTCTCTCAGTCTCGGTACAATGGACTCTCTTCCTGTCAGGAAGCTGCGCTGAAACATTTAAACTGTCAGAGAAAATCCTTCATCCCTCTGTAAACTACAACACTGTGTGTTTAAACTCAGAGAGAAATATTTATAACATTTCACACATTTTCGGGACATTTAATCAGTTTGTCCCAATTTTTCATGCATTTTCCAGATATTTTACTCATATTTTTAAATGTTTTAACAATTAGTTGTGATATTTTTCAGACATCTGTGTTTCAAAGTTCTCTATGAATACATGCATTATTTATATTAATTATTAAAAAACATGCACTGATTAATGTGTGTTTTAGCTCTCCCTACTGTTATGAATGATTTCTCTACATTCTGCTTCGCTGTATTCAAACCGCTGACGCTGTGCTGTGATTGGCTCCCGCTCTCAGGGATACCTAGGCGACGAGAAGGCGTTCATCGCCACGCAGGGCCCGATGGTGAACACGGTGAACGACTTCTGGCTGATGGCGTGGCAGGAGGAGGCGCCGGTCATCGTGATGATCACCAAACTGAAGGAGAAGAACGAGGTGAGCGGACGAGGGTTCCAATAAAGCTTTATAACTTCAAATAAAAAACCTGTTTGGTCGATGCTGAATTTAAAGTAAACTCACAATGTTTCTTTATTTTTTTGCCATTTGTTTTGATATTTTTCCAACGGTTTGATGGAACATTTTACTCATTTTATTTGCACATGTTGTGGAAAATTATATAATTTAGTTTGGATATTTATCCAAAGATTCCTGACATTTTCTGCATATTTTTTCAGACATTTTGCTGACAGACGAATACAATAAAATACTGTGTGTGTGTGTGTGTGTGTGTGTGTGTGTGTGTGTGTGTGTGTGTGTGTGTGTGTGTGTGTGTGTGTGTGTGTGTGTGTGTGTGTGTGTGTGTGTGTGTGTGTGTGTGTGTGTGTGTGTGTGTGTGTGTGTGTGTGTGTGTGTGTTTGTTTCTCTGCAGAAGTGTGTCCTGTACTGGCCGGAGAAGAGGGGGATCTATGGGAAGGTGGAGGTGTTGGTGAACAGCGTCAGAGAGTGTGAACACTACACCACCCGCAGCCTCACACTCAAGGTACACACACACACACACACACACACACACACACACACACACACACACACACACACACACACACACACACTGATATTTCTGTTATAAAAAGGGGAAGGGTTGAACTGTGAAGCCTATTCCTAGTATACATTTTAAACAGTTCTTCAGACATCGTTCCTGTTTCTGGGGGATTTTTTCCAACATTTTAATAATCTTTTTTAAAAACATTTTGTGGACCATTTATATAATTTTCCTCCAAACATTTTTGTTCCACTTTTTTTGTTGTTGACAGTTTACAATTTTAATAAATGTTTCTGGAATCTTTTTTTAGATGTTTCACACATGCTTACAGGTTATTGTCTTGCAGCAGATAAAGAGTCTCTGTGTTTCTTCGTCTGTTATGTGTTGGTGTGTGCAGAGTGGGAATCAGACCCGGGACCTGCAGCACTTCTGGTACACGTCGTGGCCTGACCACAAGACGCCCGACTCCACGCTGCCGCTGCTGCAGCTGATGGGAGACGTGGAGGACCGGAGGGCGGCAGCCATCTTGGGACCCGTCATCGTGCACTGCAGGTACAGAGAAAAAAAACATGGATGCAGAGATGGCAAAAGTACACACATCCTTTACTCGAGTAGAAGTACACATACTCGTGTTTAAAGATACTCTGGTGAAAGTAGAAGTACTGACTAAACTTCTTTACTCAAGTAAAAGTAAAGAACTTTGAAATGTACTTCAGTAAAAAGTACCCATAACTAGCAGCTGTTTTAAAGAGTACCTGACCTCCCTTTATATGAATAGAACAATAATGTCATTGTTAGCTAATGAATGTTTCCATGCTGAACAACGGCAACATGACAACGTTTTCATTGGTCCCTCTTCTTTAGAGAAGACCAGGAAATGATGGATACACGGATCGTGTTCAAATCAATAGGCACGCAATGACTCTAAATAATAATGATCATGCCACCAAACACACATTCAAACTAAAGGAACCAGCCTGTTTGGAAAATGAGAGAAGTAGAAAGTACAGGTATTTGTGTTCAACATGTAAGAAGTAGAAAGTACAGGTATTTGTGTTCAACATGTAAGAAGTAGAAAGTACAGGTATTTGGGTTCAACATGTAAGAAGTAGAAAGTACAGGTATTTGGGTTCAACATGTAAGAAGTAGAAAGTACAGGTATTTGGGTTCAACATGTAAGAAGTAGAAAGTACAGGTATTTGGGTTCAACAGTAAGAAGTAGAAAGTACAGGTATTTGGGGTTCACCATGTAAGAAGTAGAAAGTACAGGTATTTGGTTCAACATGTAAGAAGTAGAAAGTACAGGTATTTGTGTTCAACATGTAAGAAGTAGAAAGTACAGGTATTTGGGTTCAACATGTAAGAAGTAGAAAGTACAGGTATTTGAGTTCAACATGTAAGAAGTAGAAAGTACAGGTATTTGAGTTCAACATGTAAGAAGTAGAAAGTACAGGTATTTGTGTTCAACATGTAAGAAGTAGAAAGTACAGGTATTTGTGTTCAACATGTAAAGAAGTGGAAAGTACAGTATTTAGAAATGTAAGAAGTAGAAAGTACAGGTATTTGTGTTAGAAATGTAAGAAGTGGAAAGTACAGGTATTTGTGTTCAAAATGTAAGAAGTAGAAGTACACCCAATGGGCCCAATGACGTCACGGATTGATACAGAAGTTGTAGTACCGCCATTTGGCCACTAGGAATATTTTCCTCCGAATCCGGAGTACTTCCTGGGGGCTTGAGAGAAACATGGGAACTCTACTACTGCTACTGTAAGGTACTTTCAAATGACTACATTACCCACAATCCTTTGCTTCGCTCTGCAGCGCCGGGATTGGACGGACCGGATGCTTCATCGCCACGACGATAGGTTGTCGACAGCTGCAGGTGGAGGGCTTCGTCGACGTGCTGAGCATCACCTGCTGCCTGCGAGCAGACAGGTAACACACACACACACACACACACACACACACACACACACACACACACACACACCCCCACACACACACACACACAAACTGTTTTTAAAACCACACATTTTTTGAGACATTTTATTATAATTTTCTGAATATCTTAGTGGTCTGTTTATGCAATTTTTTTGTACTTTGTTCTGATATTTTCCTGTCATTTAAACATATTTTCCACATATTTGTTGCATTTTTTCAGTCATTTTATTCATATCTTCTTAGCACACCTTTCAGCATTTTTCCACATTTTGTTTTTTTTGTACTTTTTTCAATACTTTTATCACGGTTTTTAGGCATTTTTTGCATAAAGTTGTCAAATAAATCAGTTTGTTTAAACAAATCACATTAATAACCTGTGTGTGTGTGTGTGTGTGTGTGTGTGTGTGTGTGTGTGTGTGTGTGTGTGTGTGTGTGTGTGTGTGTGTGTGTGTGTGTGTGTGTGTGTGTGTGTGATGCGCGCAGAGGAGGTATGATTCAGACAGGTGAGCAGTACGAGTTCGTCCATCACGCTCTGAGTCTGTACGAGTCCCGCCTCTCCGCAGAAACCGGCCAATGAGAGCACAGCGCCACAGGAGGCGTCGGTTTGAACCAGGAATTGCTCTGACATAAAGCGAGTCATTTGTAGAGCTTCACGATTGACGGACACCTCGGACAGCCAATCAGGAGCGATGTGGGCGGAGCCTGTTGAAGGGAAGATGGAATGTAAATTCTGAAAAGGGGAATCTATCCGTTCTTCTTCTTCTCTGCCATTTCTTCTTCGTGTTTTTTGGCGAGCGTTTCTTCAGAGGAGCTCAAAGACTCGCTTCTCTTCGGATCGTGTTTTTATTCACTAACCAGAATGTCCCGTTACCTCTTTTTTCCTGTCACAGAGACGTAGAAATAATAGTCTGAAGTCGATGGTTCAATAACACTGTTGTGTTTTGTGTGTCTTATAGGGTTTTAAATGGTTTTATAATCGTGGTGTTCTGATATAACAATGGCTGTTGGTAAAATGACTGTTAGCTGGTTGCACCTTTGGTTACTCGACCATCGATGAACCAACATCTCCTCGCCGCTTTTGTGACATCTGCACTTCCTACGTTACTCCATGATTCACCTACGAAACGTTTTTAAGTCTATCCAGCACCATGATGTATCTATAAAGTCATTTTCATGGTTTCACAGGTCTAAAAACAACAAACTACAAACTCATCAGAAATACTACATTTATCAAATTTACCCTGAAATGCTAGCTTGCTAACTAGCAAACACACTAATCTTGACCCTTGTGCCTCAATAGGGACATTTCTGGCTGTTTAATTTTACATTTTTTAAATAATTGTAGCTGTTTTAATGAGTTTTATTAATCAAAATTGTGAATTCAGCCCCGATAATAAGTGTATATCCAAAATGCAGCCAGTCGAAGCCAAAAAGGACAGAAAAGTCCCCATTAAAACCATTTATTTATTATCAAATTACATCTTAATATCCTGCTCTGTATTATCCATCTACAGCCCCTGCTCCTACATTTAACTTTTTACTATTTTTCTTAAATTTCTGCAGTAACGTATGAAATGCTGACGTCACAAATGGAGCTAACGTTAGCCATAGATCACTAGCGAAAAGCTAACACACCAATGTAAAGCTAATAAGTTCATGCTAAGCTAGTTCTCGTAATACAGCAATCTCCATAGAGGCTAATGCTAGTTTTAGTAACTCAGTGTTAGTCTGCATTAATGTCAATAAATGGATGCTAAGCTATAAGCTCATGCTACTATTAGCTCGCTATGCTAATCAATATTGTTTTAAAAAACAATTATATCTAGTATTTAATGCTAAATAATAATTTGTTAGTTGTTTGTTACAACTATTTTATTTGTTGAAGTACAGCTCCCATAAGGCGTTTACTAAGCATTATGGGAGTTGTAGTTTTTAAATAATAAAACATGTCTTTTATTTTAAATAATGGACACAAAATCAAGCTTTTAGAAAAACAAATGAATACAAATATTATTAAAAAAAGATGGAGGCTAGTTAAGCCAATTACTCAGTCACAATTTATTTGATCAATTAATAAAAAATAATGAATGAACTACATATTTTTGCTGAGAAATGTTGTGCTGCTAGTAGTTAGCCTTGTTTCCTGCTTTGACAATTCTCCTGTTGTGTAATATTATATTGCTTTATACCAAAAAATGTGAAATTATTTACGTCACAATGGTGCAGTCATCTCATCGATGTGCTGTTGTAAAATCTAGTGTTACTTATGGTGTATCAAAGTAATAACAACTTTATTTTTATACTGTTTTTACATGTTTTTGATGTGTTTTAGCATTTGTCGACGCTAATTTGGGGGTACTAAACTCACCACATCTCTTAATCATGAATTTAACTGTCCAATACTGCATATTTTAGAATAAAATGTGAAACAAAAATGGGGTGGTTTTTGTCAATTAACATTGTACAGTACATGTAAAAGTGCTATTAATGTGGGACGTCCTGTTTCCAATCCACGGATTACAAACAAACACGGAAAACTTGCTGCTAAAACTGGGACCATTTGGGAGCGTCGGGACCGCTGACGGACAGTAACCGAGAAACTTTAAAGACTCTTCTTTTTCTATGTATTTTTTTATTTATTCCTTTTTTCTTGTCACACAATCAAAAGACGTTGGACCAGTGTTTCTTAGTGTGTCTTCACGGGACCATCATCAACACAATTTCCCACTTTAGTCAATTCAGGATCGATTTCCAACCCAAAATGGTGCAAATTTGGCAAAGTGGTGCAGTGATGTTGTATTTCTTTGTTGGACCCTGAAGGCAGCATCTCCCCGGTCCAATGGGATTTCTAGATGTGATTTTGGGATTATTGCAGAAAACAATCTCTGTGGCAAACCACTGCTAAGCTAAAGGTGGCTAATGTTGGGCTATACAGGAACTAGAGCACGGTCACATGACTTCACGTCACCACCGCTAAGCTAAAGGTGGCTAATGTTGGGCTATAAAGGAACTAGAGCACGGTCACATGACTTCACGTCACCACCGCTAAGCTAAAGGTGGCTAATGTTGGGCTATAAAGGAACTACAGCACGGTCACATGACTTCACGTCACCACCGCTAACCTAAAGGTGGCTAATGTTGGGCTATAAAGGAACTACAGCACGGTCACATGACTTCACGTCACCACCGCTAAGCTAAAGGTGGCTAATGTTGGGCTATAAAGGAACTACAGCACGGTCACATGACTTCACGTCACCACCGCTAAGCTAAAGGTGGCTAATGTTGGGCTATAAAGGAACTACAGCACGGTCACATGACTTCACGTCACCACCGATCAAATAAAATTAACCAGAAAGAATTAATGCTAATCAATGCTACATTTTCTGCTAATAACAAGCTCAAGTTTGTTAGCTTCTGACCGCTGTTTCTTAGCTAGCCTGCTAATAGAGATGGTGGCACACTAGATAACAACCAGAAAGTGTCATAAAAAATACAAACTGACTTCGTCTAAATACCCATTTCAGATTTTAACTGCCTAAAACGTATATCAATAAATGTGAGCTGTGTGTGGGTTAACAGCTCAGACCTGATGATACTTCCTGTGGGTTTTTACTGTATTACTAATCAACTTGAATGTTGTAGTCCGGAGCCACTGAGTAGTGCTGTTACCTCTCTATCTACTATCAAATATATATAATGTTACCTGTAATCTGTACATAAACACTGGACATAAAACACATTGACTCCTGTGGACTGACTGAAAACCAACAGTTAATCGTTTAAAAACTTCTGAAATTACTTTTTCTCGTAAAATGTGCAATTAGTTGTACTTTTATTGGGTTAATTACTTAAGTAAATGTACTTGGTTACATTCCCCTGCTTTTATTTGTAATCAAATGGGAATTAATGGCTCATTTGGACTGTTTTACAGTAGTTTGAGTCACAGACATGATTCATGAAGGTTAATCTACTTCATGCCGTTTTAACTTTTCTTCCTAGAAACTTTATCATGTAAAATAATAGAGACACAGAGAGGAGGGGGGGGCAGGAAGGAAGGAAGGAAAGAGGTGTGGAGACTAAAAGTAGCTCCAATGAAACAAAGCCTGTTGGACTTTTTACTTTAAATGCTGCATAACACAAGAGTCTGACCTTTTATGGATCAGATTAACTAAAGAGAGCCACATCAGCAGGAGAGGACTCTTTAAAGTAGAGACACTACATACTGATATACACCTGAACATCAGCAGGAGAGGACTCTTTAAAGTAGAGACACTACATACTGATATACACCTGAACATCAGCAGGAGAGGACTCTTTAAAGTAGAGACACTACATACTGATATACACCTGAACATCAGCAGGAGAGGACTCTTTAAAGTAGAGACACTACATACTGATATACACCTGAACATCAGCAGGAGAGGACTCTTTAAAGTAGAGACACTACATACTGATATACACCTGAACATCAGCAGGAGAGGACTCTTTAAAGTAGAGATACTACATACTGATATACACCTGAACATCAGCAGGAGAGGACTCTTTAAAGTAGAGATACTACATACTGATATACACCTGAACATCAGCAGGAGAGGACTATTTAAAGTAGAGACACTACATCAGGGCTTCTCAAACTCCGGACCAAGGTCCGGATCCGGACCGAACTGCAAATCAATGCGCACCGAACCCTGTGTCCCATTATAAAAAATAAATAATAATAATAAAAAAAAAAAAAAAAATTCTGATTCTGATCAATTAATGTACATCATCATGTACGCGCATCTTGTGTCTGACGCGTTGTGAGAATGAACGTGCATATATATATTTACTTGTGTGCGCGAGCGTGACACGCATAGCAGACCGCAAGTTAACTGCAAGTTTACCTTGACATACTGTATGTATGTATTGAATGTGTGTGTGTATACAGGGGCGCCGTTTACCGACAGGCAAGGCAGGCAAATGCTTGGACCAGAAGGGGGCCCCCAAAGAAGGTAGATTAAGAAGGTCCACAGCAACGACAACATGAAACACCCTTTAATTTACTGCAACGACATGTCGGGAAACTCCATGCATAGAGCGCCAAGAAACTGCTTCTTAATTTCAGTTTTGTTTCTCCGCTCAGGGGGGGGGGGGGGGGGGGGACGACGACTTTACTGGCATTGATCCGGACCAGTGACCTTGTATAAAGTTCACAACTGGACCTTTAATAAAAAAGTTTGAGTACCCCTGCACTACATACTGATATACACCTGAACATCAGCAGGAGAGGACTCTTTAAAGTAGAGGCACTACATACTGATATACACCTGAACATCAGCAGGAGAGGACTCTTTAAAGTAGAGACACTACATACTGATATACACCTGAACATCAGCAGGAGAGGACTCTTTAAAGTAGAGACACTACATACTGATATACACCTGAACATCAGCGGGAGAGGACTCTTTAAAGTAGAGACAATACATACTGATATACACCTGAACATCAGCGGGAGAGGACTCTTTAAAGTAGAGACACAACATACTGATATACACCTGAACATCAGCGGGAGAGGACTCTTTAAAGTAGAGACAATACATACTGATATACACCTGAACATCAGCGGGAGAGGACTCTTTAAAGTAGAGACACTACATACTGATATACACCTGAACATCAGCAGGAGAGGACTCTTTAAAGTAGAGACACTACATACTGATATACACCTGAACATCAGCAGGAGAGGACTCTTTAAAGTAGAGACACTACATACTGATATACACCTGAACACCAGCAGGAGAGGACTCTTTAAAGTAGAGACACTACATACTGATATACACCTGAACATCAGCAGGAGAGGACTCTTTAAAGTAGAGACACTACATACTGATATACACCTGAACATCAGCAGGAGAGGACTCTTTAAAGTAGAGACACTACATACTGATATACACCTGAACATCAGCAGGAGAGGACTCTTTAAAGTAGAGACACTACATACTGATATACACCTGAACATCAGCAGGAGAGGACTCTTTAAAGTAGAGACACTACATACTGATATACACCTGAACATCAGCAGGAGAGGACTCTTTAAAGTAGAGACACTACATACTGATATACACCTGGACATCAGCAGGAGAGGACTCTTTAAAGTAGAGACACTACATACTGATATACACCTGAACATCAGCAGGAGAGGACTCTTTAAAGTAGAGACACTACATACTGATATACACCTGAACATCAGCAGGAGAGGACTCTTTAAAGTAGAGACACTACATACTGATATACACCTGAACATCAGCAGGAGAGGACTCTTTAAAGTAGAGACACTACATACTGATATACACCTGAACATCAGCAGGAGAGGACTCTTTAAAGTAGAGACACTACATACTGATATACACCTGAACACCAGCAGGAGAGGACTCTTTAAAGTAGAGACACTACATACTGATATACACCTGAACATCAGCAGGAGAGGACTCTTTAAAGTAGAGACACTACATACTGATATACACCTGAACATCAGCAGGAGAGGACTCTTTAAAGTAGAGACACTACATACTGATATACACCTGAACATCAGCAGGAGAGGACTCTTTAAAGTAGAGACACTACATACTGATATACACCTGAACATCAGCAGGAGAGGACTCTTTAAAGTAGAGACACTACATACTGATATACACCTGAACATCAGCAGGAGAGGACTCTTTAAAGTAGAGACACTACATACTGATATACACCTGGACATCAGCAGGAGAGGACTCTTTAAAGTAGAGACACTACATACTGATATACACCTGAACATCAGCAGGAGAGGACTCTTTAAAGTAGAGACACTACATACTGATATACACCTGAACATCAGCAGGAGAGGACTCTTTAAAGTAGAGACACTACATACTGATATACACCTGAACATCAGCAGGAGAGGACTCTTTAAAGTAGAGACACTACATACTGATATACACCTGAACATCAGCAGGAGAGGACTCTTTAAAGTAGAGACACTACATACTGATATACACCTGGACATCAGCAGGAGAGGACTCTTTAAAGTAGAGACACTACATACTGATATACACCTGGACATCAGCAGGAGAGGACTCTTTAAAGTAGAGACACTACATACTGATATACACCTGAACATCAGCAGGAGAGGACTCTTTAAAGTAGAGACACTACATACTGATATACACCTGAACATCAGCAGGAGAGGACTCTTTAAAGTGGAGACACTACATACTGATATACATCTGAACATCAACTGGAGAGGACTCTTTAAGAAAATAAATAAAACAACTAATTTGCATCAAACTCGTCTCTATTTATAACTTTCCCTGAAAGGCGCAGATACTTTTATTTATTTATAGCGGTCTCTCTTTCTTCTCGCAGTGTTTCAGAGCTGATGGAGGAAGTCCGTTAGTGACTCCAGCCCGACACTATAGACTCTAACAGACAGGAAGACAGACAGGAAGACAGAGGGTGAGACAGGCAGGACAGAAAACAGAGGAAACCCTCAGACTGGATGTGAGTTGGACACGAGACGGAGAGGAGACGGACGACAGAGAGGACTTTAATCACTTAGGGATTTATTCTGTTTCTAATTGATCCAACTCTATTTTCCACCAGGACGTCGCTGAAGACTAAAAAGGAATATTTCGTGCAGTTTATCGTGAATATAAACTTGTTTCCCGACGCTCCGGCGCAGGATTATGGTGCAGTTTGAGGATCAAAATGCTGAGATGTAAAGTGTTCAGTTTCCTGTGGTTGTCCTCGCTGCTGCTGCTCAGGGTGAGGCGCTCATCTGTTCACACGCTTAGGTTTCATTCACTGTATCTGAGCTTCATTTTTACGTTTCGGTTAAAAATAAAAGCCAATTTCTTCCTTATTTCTTTACTTAAAACATAAGAATTAATATGAGACTTAAACAATTAAATTACTTTAAGTATATATGTTTCTGTCTTTTATGAGAAGTTTAGTCTCAATAAAGAAATACTTTTTTTATATTTCAATATATTCACTTAAATAAATAAAAACATAAAATAAACACTAATAATTAAGGCTTAAAAACTCAGGACATTACGTTACTTCAATGAGATCTAACCAGTAAGAATTAACAAGTGAAAAACAAACATTAAAAAATGTATAATAAAAAATGATACTAAGACCATAAGTAATTACAAGACACGAGTTCCAACAAAAACAAACAAGTTTTGATTCACCCAAATTCTGATTATTATAATTAGTGACCTAAACATGGAGAACAAGGGCATTTATTTAAATAATTAATAGTGTCTCTTAATTAACTAGTTGTTGTCGTCATTTCCTCTTCCTGTCTGTCTCGTTATCAGAGACACATTTTCTTTATTGTGTCTTCTGCTTCTGGCAGAGGTGGGAAGTAAATAAGTGTTTTACTCAAGTACAATTTTGAGGTACTTGTACTTTACTTGAGTATTTCCATTGTATGCTACTGTGTACTTCTACCCCACTACAGTCCAGAGGTACATCGTGTACTTCTACTCCACTACCTGTATTTAATACCTTTAGTTACTTCACAGATGTGGATGAATGATGTGAAATCTAATCAAGTGTTAAATCAGACTTTAGTTCCACCTGGAGTAAATCCACAAGCTACCCTGCAGTATACAAAGTCATTCAAACTAGCTGCACCTTTACCAGCTTTGAGAACACTTTCATGATCAATCATTATAAAACATATCATATATATTATTCTGAAATGGACCAATCTGCACAATGACTACTTTTACTGTCGCTACTTTCACTATATTTTGATGAGAATACTTTTCTACTTTACTTGAGGAACATTTTGAATGCAGGACTTTTACTGTAACAGAGTATTCCTACACTCTGGTACTTCTACTTTTACTCAAGTACAAGATCTGAGTACTTCTACTTTTACTCAAGTACAAGATCTGAGTACTTCTACTTTTACTCAAGTACAAGACCTGAGTACTTCTACTTTTACTCAAGTACAAGATCTGAGTACTTCTGCTATTACTCAAGTACAAGATCTGAGTACTTTTACTTTCACTCAGGTACAAGATCTGAGTACTTTTACTTTCACTCAGGTACAAGATCTGAGTACTTCTCCAGCTCTTGCTTCTGGGACAAAGGTTTATTTCTTTAAATATCTGCATCTGATTAACACCAGACGGTATATTTGATGATTTCTTTGCAGATAAACAAAAAAGTATTAGTTTAATGTTTCCCAGATTCTATTTAAAAGTAGATTAGATTATTTAATCGTTTATTTGGCAGGGACAATGCACAGTATTATTTATATTATTTATCGTATCGTATTGCTGTAGTGAGAATGAATCCAAAATACTTACACTGTAGAAAAAGATATTTAAATTTACTTTCTTTTAATCATTTAGTCGTTCTTCTATAAATTGTTGGGGATTTTCATTTTTAACAAAATATCATACATGTTAAAATAATAGTTTGCTGTCTCCGTTGCGGTGAACACTGATGGGTTATATTTATTAAAGGTCCCCTATCATCCTCTTCTTCATCAATATATCACAGGTCTCAGATATATCCAGAGCCTGTCTCTGATTGGCTGAAACACCAAACAGATCATCGCAGCATTACCCATAATCCCCTCTGTTTCAGCCCTGTTTCCAAAGTGCTGATTCTCTGTCTGTTACTTTAGATGAAAATAAGGAGCCCCTCCCCACGCCCCTCTGAGAGAGATTTGGTTACAAAGAACTCAATGGTGCTCTAGGAGGAGATTCAGGTGATAATGTGGGGGGGGGGGGGGTTACCTTGGTTGCTGATTGGCTAATGGTTACACAAGACAAAACATCGTTATGACATCATCAAGTGGCCAAAATCTGATCAGCTCTTTTTCAGACAGGTTTTTATAGAAATGGATCAAAAAGAGAGAGAATCTTTGTTCCTGAAACTTTCAGAGTCTCTTTACACAGAGGGGACACATGTTGATGAAGAAGAGACATGAAGAAGAGGGGACACATGTTGATGAAGAAGAGACATGAAGAAGAGGGGACACATGTTGATGAAGAAGAGACATGAAGAAGAGGGGACACATGTTGATGAAGAAGAGACATGAAGAAGAGGGGACACATGTTGATGAAGAAGAGACATGAAGAAGAGGGGACACATGTTGATGAAGAAGAGACATGAAGAAGAGGGGACACATGTTGATGAAGAAGAGACATGAAGAAGAGGGGACACATGTTGATGAAGAAGAGACATGAAGAAGAGGGGACACATGTTGATGTAGAAGAGACATGAAGAAGAGGGGACACATGTTGATGTAGAAGAGACATGAAGAAGAGGGGACACATGGTGATGTAGAAGAGACATGAAGAAGAGGGGACACATGTTGATGTAGAAGAGACATGAAGAAGAGGGGACACATGTTGATGAAGAAGAGACATGAAGAAGAGGGGACACATGTTGATGTAGAAGAGACATGAAGAAGAGGGGACACATGTTGATGAAGAAAAGACATGAAGAAGAGGGGACCACATGTTGATGTAGAAGAGACATGAAGAAGAGGGGACACATGTTGATGAAGAAGAGACATGAAGAAGAGGGGACACATGTTGATGTAGAAGAGACATGAAGAAGAGGGGACACATGTTGATGTAGAAGAGACATGAAGAAGAGGGGACACATGTTGATGTAGAAGAGACATGAAGAAGAGGGGACACATGTTGATGAAGAAGAGACATGAAGAAGAGGGGACACATGGTGATGTAGAAGAGACATGAAGAAGAGGGGACACATGTTGATGTAGAAGAGACATGAAGAAGAGGGGACACATGTTGATGAAGAAGAGACATGAAGAAGAGGGGACACATGTTGATGTAGAAGAGACATGAAGAAGAGGGGACACATGTTGATGAAGAAGAGGGGACACATGTTGATGTAGAAGAAACATGAAGAAGAGGGGACACATGTTGATGTAGAAGAGACATGAAGAAGAGGGGACACATGTTGATGTAGAAGAGACATGAAGAAGAGGGGACACATGTTGATGAAGAAGAGACATGAAGAAGAGGGGACACATGTTGATGTAGAAGAGACATGAAGAAGTGGATTTAGCAGAATAGGAGGACTAACTGTTCTTTGTCTCCTCCTCAGGATCTAGGCGCCGCTCCCTCAGAGTCTCCCTCCTGCAGCTTCTCTCTATCCTCCCCCGTCTCCCACCTGGACTCCCTCTCTCTCTCCCTCTCCTCCCCTCAGAGACACTGCTCCTTCTCCATCACCTCCTCAGGATCAGACAGCACCGAGTGCAGGAGAGAAGGAGACGAGGAGGCAGAGACTAATGAGATAGGAGGAAGGAAACAAGGACAGGAGGAGGAGGAGAGGAAGAATGCGACAGGAGGGAACTATCTGGGGACGAATCAGCTAGGAGAGGAGGATGGAGGAAACAAGGAGGAAGGAGGTGTGTTTACCTGTGTGTTGGAGCAGCTGGAGCCGGGAACCGCCTACGAGCTGATCGTCCAATCACAGAGCGGCGAGGAGACGAGGAACATCACGCTGCACACCCGTAAGTCCAGGAATGAGTCCTAAAACCGCGGGAATGAGTCAGCATGCTACCACTCCATGATTTAATGTTCAGAAGGCTCTTTATGTGTCTCATACTGCCTGTACTACCTCTTTTCACCCTCTGTCTGAAACCAGAGCCCAGTCTGCTCTGATTGGTTAGCTGGCCGGCTCTGTTGTGATTGGTCAACCAGCTTAGAGATGTCCCGCCCCCTTTAGCCTATCACCTACAATGTGTTGGAGCGCTAGCCAATAGGAGCGCGAGTGTTCAGTGATGTCAGCGTGTTCTGGAACTTTGGGATTTTAGCCTCTGCAGACCGTTGACGTGCACAGAAACACCACAGAAAAAAGCAGAATGTGGCCCCTTTAAACACCCCGAGTGCATCCTGTTGACTTGATTTAACACAAATGCGGTGTTTAAAGAGTTATCAGAGAAATATAGGGTTAGGTCACATGACAAGTCAAAAGAGTCTGGAGCCCTGTGGTACCCTGACAACAAATGAGACCCATCGTGTTTTCAGGAGTGACTTCAATTTAAATTATGAGTCATTATTATTAATTATAAAACATGGACCAGGTACCATGTGCACATCCAAATGTATCGCATATTAAACGTGCGATGCGTTTTGTTGTTGTTGTTGTTGTGATTACGAGTTGGTTCATGGAGATACACATTGGTTATTAACAGCATTGTTTCCACAGACTGGTGGCATTATATATGGAAGTATTTACACACAACGGCCTCTGTGTGAGAGTTTACATGTTGGAAGGAAGTAGGGGCTCTTATTGTGAAATAAACAGGAAGTGGTCTTGTTGTTGTGGTGCATGCTGGGAACAATGGCTGGCGTCACTGAAGGAGCTGCTGATTGACTTCATGTTGAGAACCAGAGGAATTTAAATGAGCGCTAGTGGAAGACAATCTGGAAAAATGTATATATAATTACATAAATAATAACAATAATAGATAATAATATAAATAAAATATGATGTTTTTGGTTGATTTCATGTTTTAATGTGAGGAATCTGTGTGTAGCAATAGGTCGATTTGTATTCCGAAGTCACATGCTTTATGTACGTCATTATTTAGTCACTAAATCTGTATTTGTTTTGCTTTTATCAAACAACTAAGTATGGATTTCTTGGAGGGTTTTTTTTCAGCGTTTGTCCCAAGATAAAAAAAAGAAAAAATCCTAAAAATGATGTGAAAAAGAAGAATCTGAAAACATTTTAAATACAAAATATTTGCATCTCTGAAGAAAGCAAACAACTAGTAAAAGATATGTCAGAAATGTGTGTGTGTGTGTGTGTGTGTGTGTGTGTGTGTGCTTTCATGTGTGCGTGTTTGGGTTTTCATGTGCGTGCGTGTGTGTGTGTGTGTGTGTGTGTGTGTGTGTGGGTTTTCATGTGTGTGTGTGTGTGTGTGTGTGTGTGCGTGTGTGTGTGTGTGCTTTCATGTGTGCGTGTTTGGGTTTTCATGTGTGTGTGTGTGCGTGTGTGTGTGTGTGTGTGTGTGTGTGTGTGTGTGCTTTCATGTGTGTGTGTTTGGGTTTTCATGTGCGTGCGTGTGTGTGTGTGTGTGTGTGTGTGTGTGGGTTTTCATGTGTGTGTGTGTGTGTGTGTGTGTGCGTGTGTGTGTGTGTGCTTTCATGTGTGCGTGTTTGGGTTTTCATGTGTGTGTGTGTGTGTGTGTGCTTTCATGTGTGCGTGTTTGGGTTTTCATGTGTGTGTGTGTGCGTGTGTGTGTGTGTGTGGGTTTTCATGTGTGTGTGTGAGTGTGTGTGTGTGTGTGTGTGTGTGTGCGTGTGTGTGTGTGTGTGTGTGCGTGTGTGTGTGTGTGCATGTGTGTGTGTGTGTGCGTGTGTGTGTGTGTGCGTGTGTGTGTGTGTGTGTGTGTGTGTGTGTGTGTGTGTGTGTTAAAGTCATGTAGCTTCCCCTCTCTGCAGCGCTGTGATTAGCTACAGGAACCACAGCCCTGCTGAGAGAGAGTGATAGAGCAGTAAAAGTGTGTGTGTGTGTTTTTGAAAGTGTGTGTGTGTTGTGTCTCCACTCTGGCTGCGCTCCAGAACAGGAGTTGGACCCTCAGTGTGTGTTTCCATCGTGGGCAGAGCTCCGGGTTCAGCAATTTCCTGCCTCCATTGTTGCTTTGTTCTGTGGGAAAGGGCGTGAGGGTGTGTGTGTGTGTGTGTGTGTGTGTGTGTGTGTGTGTGGAGGAAACACCCAGTTGACTGTACCCTTGTCAGAAGCTGTGGTTCCTTCTCTCTGGAGGTTAGCACAGTTCACACGACAGAACAAGAAAGTCTGTTTTTTACCTGATCAACTCTTTCCAGAAAGTTCCTTGAAGCTACGTAAACAAAAAGAGGCTCTGTTCTTCTTCTGTGGTGTTCCCTCTCCTCTTGTGTGTTCTATAGGTGTTAGTGCATGTAAACGGTCTGCAAAGGCTCAAATCCATCACTACGGAACACTCGCGCTCCTATTGGCTAGCGCTCCAACACATTGTACGTGATAAGCTTAAGGGGGCGGGACATCTCTAAGCTGGTTGACCTATCACAACAAAGCCGACCAGCTAACCAATCAGAGCAGACTCTTCTTAGTACTATTCTATTTGGGTGTGATTATGACATTTTTGCCTCCTTCTTCCAGAGTCATTTTAACACAGGAGTGGCTGGTGTACCGCTGCAACACTTTTGAATGAATTTGTGTTATTGTTTGACTCTGGTTAAAACCAAAGAAAGACTCCAAATAACAAAAAATAACTCAAAATGGAGAAAGCATCAGATCAGCAACTCATGTATTCTGTGATTTAAAAGTTCAGTTTTTGAAGAGAACATAGATCATGCCAGAAAGGACTTTTTAAAGCGAAAATATTCTAAATAAAATAACACAGGAGGCGTGTGGCGCAGTGGGTAGAGCGTTAGTGTTCGGATCAGGGGGTCACAGGTTCAAACCCCACTGCAGTCAGCATGTCGTTGTGTCCCTGAGACACTTCACCCCAAATTGCTCCTGTGGGGATTGCCCACAGTATTGAGTATGTAAGTCGCTTTGGATAAAAGCGTCTAACAAGTAACATGTCATGTAATGTAATATTTAGAATATAAATACATAAGTTTAATGTGTAGTGTCTATGATAGCTCCACATAATGCCTTCCATATATAACAGTGGCTGTGGAGAAGCACGTCACACACACACACACACACTTAAAAACAGTCTTTACATCTCTGCACAGAAACACTGGAGATGTCTGCAGCTGATAATATTGTTCCTCTCAGTTTGAAGCCGAGGTGGCGACACAAACACACACAGAGGCATTGTGGGAAATATCTTAAGGAAAAGCAGGACCCCCACAGAGAACACTGACCATCCTTTTCCTGTTAAACCGCCCAACACATAAATCTCTCCAAAGGAAACGTCTTCAGAACTACCCAACTCCTTCTCCTTCAAAACATCAAAGGCGCAACACATCTCTGCTTTGATCTTTTTCCTCTTGACACCTCGGAGGGTTTATGGCGGGATTTTTTTAGGAGTTTTGTGACGTATTTGACCTCCTACATTGTTTTTAATTACTCTGTTATTTTAGGTCATGTTATCATTTGAATTATTTATTATTATTACTAAAATAAGTACAATATGTGCCTCTGATTTGTATTTAAGTTGAACTATATATATATATGGACATCTTTCCCACTTATTTCCTTGACATACTGTACGTACAGTTTTAACATATTTTAGGACCAATTTTTATTTATTTCTATACATTTATTTCGTACCCTTGTAATGTATTTTCCTGCCATTTTTTTACTTATTTTTTGACGTTTCTCTTCCAATATTTTTACATATTTTTAGGAATTTCTTTCATTAATTTCTCTGACTTTTTTCACGTTTGTGTTTCAAATGTGTGTGTGTGTGTGTGTGTGTGTGTGTGTGTGTGTGTGTGTGTGTGTGTGTGTGTGTGTGTGTGTGTGTGTGTGTGTGTTCAGGCCCCTCAGCAGTCCTCGGCCTCTCTCTCTCCTCCTCCAGCAGCCTGGGTGTTTCCTGGCAGGCCGGCCCAGGACGGACTCAGCGCTTCAGGCTGCAGCTGAGAGACCAATCAGGTACGTCCGTCAGGGGTCACATGATCTGATATCTGACCAATAAGAAAGGCAAACAAATATGAAGCAAAATATAACACAAATCTTTATAAAAAATGTTCTTCAGGAGTGCTATTCCTGCCTAAGTGTCCATGCTTTTATTTTGGTAAATGGTTGAAGTCCTTTCTCCACTAGTTGATATTTCTTTCTCTTTATTTCAGTGTTTGTTTATTTATTGTATCTGTGTCATTGTGTTGCTCTGTTGGAGGAGCCTGTGACGTCAGGTTTCCATTGACATATCTTCACTGTAGCTACTGTACGCACACATGGCAATAAAAGCCTTGAAACTTGAAGTCTTGAATCATAATATGGAATTTCAAAATAAAAGCATGGATATTTTGACCCTCCTTCCCCTGCAGGTGTTCTGAGGAACGAGACGTTGTTGAGCACGGCGACGCAGCACACACTCCTCGACCTGACGCCGGGGCGACTGTACAACGTTACCGTGGTTACGGAGGCAGGAGGGCTGACGAACAGCGCGACGGCAGCGGCTCGGACAGGTAATAATAATAATACGGCATTGTGGGAAATATCTTAAAGGAAAGCAGGACCCCCACAGAGAACACTGACCATCCTCTTCCTGTTCAAACTCCCAACACAAACATCTCTCTAAAGGAAGGTCTTCAGAAATACCCTCGCTCAAAATATCAGCTTTGATCTTTTTCATCTTGACAGCTCGGAGGATTTATGGCGGGATTTGTTTTAGGGTGAATATCTCCTGAACTTCCCCACTCAGTCCATCAAGACCCGAGCAGTTGTGTAGAAGTCCAAGGCAAGGCACGGGCCGGCGCATCTCGGTCAAAGTAATCCCTAGCCATATGAACTTTGACCCAGTGTATCAGTTCAAACTGTCCTGACTGAGCACACGCACCTGTAGCCTTGGCTGCTGTGCTCTCAGTGCTCTGTCTCCCTGCTCCTGTTGGCGTCAGCTGATCGAGGTGTTATGCTTCTATCTTGTTATGCATGTGAGGCTGACCGTTGAGCGGCCCGACCAAGCAAGGAGGCAGAGAGTTCAAATACAACCCGGTGTGGGCATTTATTAAATCATGGGCACATGACTCACAGCCTCAATATGACTGTTACCCGTGAACACAGTCACCAGCCACAAGGATCTGATATCATCTAAATCTCGTTCCAGTTCCCGCCGCCGTCTCAAATCTCACCGCCGACCACAACGACACTAGCTTCCTGTTGTCATGGCAACAGCCCGAAGGCGACCTGGACGCGCTCTTCGTTGTCGTCGTCGCCGGGCTCTCGACCAATGAGACGAGCCCCTGGGAGATGACGCTGCTGCCCAACGACACAGAGGTCGTGGTGGATCAGCTGACTCCGGGCTCGGCCTATCAGGTCACTGTGACGACCATTAGTGGAGAGCTGACGAGCCAATCAGAACTCACCGTCTGGACAGGTGAGGTGTCTTTGCTTTAGTTTTCATTTCTTAATTTTTAAACTTCTAAATGTATTTATTTTAGTATTTATTTTCTCGTTTTTTGCATTTGGCTTTTAATTAATCGCTAACATTTTCTTTCTTTCTTGTTTCTTCTTCCTCTCCTCCAGCTCCAGCCCCCCCCTCCCTCCTCTCCCTCTCCCCCTCCCCCTCCGGCGGTCTCCTCCTCTCCTGGTCTCCCCCCTCAGGTCTCTGGGAGAGTTACAGGCTGCTCCTCCTCGATGGATCCCAGGAGTTAGTCAGCACCGCTGTGGAGCGAGAGGCTTTGAACTACAGCTTCCCCGGGACCCGTCTAACTCCTGGAAGAGTTTACCGAGCCGTGCTGAGGGTGGAGAGCCGAGGAGAGACGAGAGAGAGCAGCTGTGAGGGGAGAACAGGTCAGGATATATATTACTACAGAAATACATCAAATATATACATTACTGCAGGAATACAGTACTGTATACAACCAATAAAATATATATTACTACAGAAATACATAAAATATATGCATTATTTCAGGAATATTTAACAGAAATATAAGAATCCCGTCCTCCTCTCCTCAGCTCCGGCCTCAGTGATGGAGCTCCACGTCCGTCACGCTGACGAGACGTCGCTCAGCGCCATGTGGAGCCACGCCCCCTCCGGGTCACGTGACCAGTACCTCCTGACGCTGAGACACGGTAACCATAGAGACACACTTCACCTGAATCTGATTTTAATCCGACCTCTGGTGATTCATTCTTATTATTATATTTATCATGATTAAAGGTAATGTGACGGTGGACACGCGGGAGGTGGAGCCCAACATGAGGGAGTGCACCTTCAACGTGCTCACACCTGGACGACTGTACACCGTCACCGTGACGACCAGGAGCGGAGAACTGAACGCCTCCGTGTCTCTGCAGGGCCGCACAGGTGAGGATCAAAGGGTTTCACCTGGACGTCTAGAAATATAGCAGAATCAGAGACAGGTTCATTACCTGGTAGGTTGACACGTACAAGGAATTTGACTTGGAGTGTGTGTGTGTGTGTGTGTGTGTGTGTGTGTGTGTGTGTGTGTGTGTGTGTGTGTGTGTGTGTGTGTGTGTTTCAGTACCCATGGCGCTGCGTGCTCTGACTCTGAGGAGC